GAATCTCACATGGGTATAAAAGGAACTGTTGCTCTGTCAGGAAGGTCTATGCAATGGTTTGGAATAGATGGTGTTTCTCAACATCAGGGGATATTTGGGGAGGGGTGTACAGAATAAGAATAATATAGAAAAGGCTAGGAGGAGTGAGATCTAGATGCTTCCTTCCTCTGGGCCCAGAGGGATTTGACATGTGCAGGATAAAAGTGCCACACAAAAATGTGTCAAAAATACCCAGTTTCTTAGAGATGGCTAGGTATCCAAAATAGAAAATAAAATCGATGTGAGCCTAAATGCGCACGTTCACACCACTCCAAGTGGCAGTAGCAGGAGCTTCCTGTCTTCCAGGTTGTTCTATAACACTTGAACTGTTTGAATGTCTTGTTCATTCTCTATTTCTCTTTAAACTCCCTCCCAGGTAATTGGATGTCTACTGTCTTTTGTGTAGCTAACAGTCTAAGATCCATAATGAGAGAGATGACAGAATGTTCAGATAATCCATACAAGGCTCCACCAAGGGAAGAGGGGGAATGTAAGATGGACGGAGGTCATATCCTATCACTGCCCTGGCTCCTGAGAGCTAGCTCACAGCTTCACACCTCTTGGTTGGTTGGAAATGTTGCCATCTCTTGGTTTCTGTGCTCTGTAAGGTTGCAGTAAGATTGCTGAAAAGCTGGGCTCTTCAGCGTAGGATAGATATTACATATAGTTTTGATGGGGTTGGATGATCTTAGAAATTCTTGGTCTCTACAGGTCATCATCTCTGCTTGAAAAATTGGATGATGTCCTGAAATAAATGTATCATTTATTTTCAGTGATGGATTAAATTAAGAACTGTCCATAATTTTATCCTTGGGATCAGTTTGACTTATGTACAGTGATTAGTCTCCTGCTATAAGATTATATTTTATTGATTAATATTGATTTAGAAGTGCTACACCCTTAATTATAAATAACATGGTTGTATTTCTTCTTAAACAACCAGCGACTGAATGTATTATAAAGGTTTTCAACCTGTCATAGAAATAATTAATTGGCTTGCTCTATCTCATGGTTTGGAATGTTTACATAGCACAGAAATACTCTTTTCCATGATCTGTTAAATTATGTGGGTGAGAACATGCTTTCTACTTCCTATATCTATATTTCAAGTCTGAATATTTTCAGAAATTACATTATCTGAATTTTTTAACTTTCTTTTTACTTATTCTTTGTGTCTTTCACATTATGCATCTCGATCCCATTCATTTCCCTGTCCCTTCATATCCACCCTCTGCCTCCCAAAAATAAAATAAAATTTAAGAGAAAAAAGAAGAAGAAAGAAAGAAAAATCTCATCATGGAAACTATAATGTGACACAGTTGAGTCACACAGTTTCTTTTTATTCATGTATCTTCAATTGCAAGTGTTCATTGCAAAGAGTCATTGGTCTGGTTCGAGGCCTCTGGTTTCTGTTACACCATCAATACTGGACCCTCTCACTGATACTCCTCTTGGATATCCTGTTGTTGGTGTATGTCATGGAGATTCTACAGCTTTGGGTCTGCAGGATCAGCCCCTTCACATGCTCCAGCAGATCACAGATGGGGTTGATGTTGGGACAGACCAACTCATAACCCTATTTCTGGGCCTGGGTAGTTTGCAGGGTTGGTCAGCCAGCCAGCTCTTCTCTGTCTTCATGTCCTCATGTCCAGGCATTGCCTCTTCCAGTTCACCCCTTGCAGTGAGTGATGAGCAAGGAGCAGGGCCGATTCTCCTGCTTTCATGATCTCAGGATCAGCTCTCCCACACCTACATCAGCAGGACCAGCTCTACTGTGTTGACCAGGGGCGGTGCAGGGGCCACTCTCCCGAGTGCAGCTGGTGAGGGGCAGGAACAACTCTCCCACTGTTGTGACCCCTGGGCCATCTCTCCCAACCACAACAGGCAGTGAGGGATGGGGAGTGGGGTGGGGACCATCTCTCCCCCATCCACACAACCATATGGCAGATGAGGGGTGGGGCTAGATCTCCCATCGTTCTCAGGGCCTGATCATATGCATGCACCCCTGTCAATACGGTCAGCTTTACTGGGCTGCCAAGGTGAGGTGCAGGGCCGCTTTCCCCATACTGCAGCTAGTAAGGGGGAGGGTCAGTCCCCTCACCCACCACAGGTGGCAGGGATGAGGGGGGAAAGGCATCTTTCCTTTACCCTCACCACCACTTGGCAGATGAGGGGGGCGTGGCCAGCTATCTCACCCTCATGCCCTCAGGGCTGGCTCACCTGCACCCTTGTCTATAGGGTCAACTCTACTGTGCTGCCCAGGTGAGGTGTGGGAATCTCTCTCCTGAGCGCTTCAGTAGGTAAGGGGCAGGATCAGTTTTCCCTAGTATTGCAATAAGTGAGGGCCAGGGCCAACTTTGTGCAGCCCTGTCCTCTGGGCCTTTGGTGGTATCAGGACCCATGGACATCAACACAGACAGTGACTGCAACAGGACCATGAACCCAGACATGGGCCCCACCATCCGCCCAGGCCCAGACATCACCGTGACCCTGGGTGGCAATGAATCTACCTGTCTCAGCCCGCTCCTCACTGCCCTCACCTGTTCAGATATGCCCCTGTCCACAGGACATGAGCCATTCTCTCTCCCTCCCTCCCTCCCTCCCTCCCCCCCTCTCTCCCCCATACCACTCCATACATTTGCTCACCATAATAGTGCCTATGTTTTCTCCTTGGAGCCTGGGGCAGACCCTGGCATGCATGTGAGTCTCCTTGTCCTGCTCAGTCTGTCATGGAGCTGGGCAGGACTGTGCTTTTTCCTGCTTATCCAAATTCTTCTACCACTAATATTCACATACACACTCTACCCTCATTTTTAATCTTTTCTATAGCAAATGTTGGTTTTATTTTCTATTTTATCTTTGTTGCAATTTTATTAATCTGTACTTATTTGCAAAAGATGTAAGAATTCTGGTTTTCTTAAAAATAATCATTTCTCATACTTAATATTTAAAAGGACATTCACATTGAAAACTAATTTGGGGATTTAAGAAACCATAAAAATTATATCATAATTAGAGGTTTTACTATTTTTATTATATTTTCATTTAAAACATTTCTTCAACCATTCTACTGAAGTTTTATTTTCTAAAATGTTTAGTTCTATTTAATAGTATTTCCTCCCATATATTTTTAATGGGACAATTCAAATTAAAAAAAATAATTATTTAAGAGAGTGCTTTATTGGTTTGCTTTCTCTAGCTCTTTTTGTTGTTAGATTTATTTAACTTTATTTTGTGTGAATGGGTGTTCTGTTTGCATGTGTATATGTGCACCATGTGTGTGTAGTGACCTCAGAGGCCATAAGAGGCCATTGGGTTCCCTGGAGCTACAGCTAGCCGCAGATGGTTGTAAGCCATCATGTGGATGCTGAGACTGGAACCCAGGTCCTTAGGAAGAACAGTCATGCTCCAACTGCTGAGCCATCCTGCCAGCCCCTCTGTTTAACTCACAAACATCCCTTTGCAGTATAAATTTGTTTTGACTGTAATTCTAGGTATGTCCTATACATTTTCACAGACATAATTTTAACTGCTTACCAGATAGCTATTGGTCGTTTTTTCCTCCAACTGGTAAATAGCATTTTGAGAAAGATGCTATGCTTTTAAAAATATTATATTGTTGATATTGTAGAATTTACACTTGTGTGTGTGTGTCATTTACCATGGTACATGTAAATTTAAAACAATGTTTCGTTTATTGTTGTGTATGTATGTATGAGCAGTGTGTGTGTATTTGTTCATGGGTTAGGGCATACGCATGTCTCAATGTGTGTGTGTATAGATTAGATAACACCCTCGGGCGTTGGTGCCCCCTTACACCTGAGGTGGGGTCTCTCTTGGGTGCTGCTGCACTGTGCACTCCAGTTAGCTGGCCTACAAGCCTCTGGGGGAGTATCCTATATTGTCTCTCATCTCTGTAGGAGTGTTGGACTTACAAACACGGACTACTCTGTCCAGTTTTTACATGGGTTCTGAGGATCCAAACTTAAGTCATCAGGCTGGTACTGCCCATATGTGGCTATATTGAAGTTTACTTTTTTCATATGTGGCAAATATTACTAATACTACAGGAATTGTTGAGAAAGACATTCTCTGTAAGCAGAGTATAATATGTATAAGTAGTAATAATTACATTTACTAATTTCAATGATAGAATATTTTAATTAATTGTTGGTTTTCAAGATGGGATCTTGCTGTATATCCCTGCCTGGCCTTCTGATCCTCCTGCCCCAACATCCTGAGTTCAGGGACAATCTTATTGCTTAAAGATTACAGGCTGCAGATTTGCCTATCCTTGGATTCAGTGCTCAGTACTATAAACACACACACATACATACACACACACACACACACACACACACACACACACACACACACACACAGACAGAGACAGAAACGGAGACAGAGACAGAGACAGAGAGAGACAAACACACACAGAGGAGACAGAGAGACACACACAGAGACAGACAGACACACACACACACACACACACACACACACACACAGACCCATACACACACAGACACTCACAATTAAAATTCACCCAGTAGCGAAAATCTGCTGTCAATGTCATAGTTTCTCCCACAATAAGTGTGAGATAGTAGTTTTCCTTTGCCCATGTAGGAGTTTCACTGAATTTTTCTATTCCCACAGGTTTTCCTATTTTTGTATTATTATTTAAGTTGTTGTAAATAATTTACTTTGTCTTTTGCCTCGGGCTTTTTCCTGTTATGACATTGCCACCTTTGACTCAACTTAATCAGTTTCCTTCATTTTACAATTAATTCATTTATTTCTAAATTACTTCCATTTGTATTCTTGTAAAAAGCAAATGACCAGACTGGGGATCTTAGTTCAAACTGAGTCTTTTCCTAGTACGTGGCAGCTGTTCATTGAAAATCAGTAACTTGGAATGGCATTTAACCTTGCTACACCCCACCTTATGTTTTGTTTCATTTTAGGTGGGCCATAAAGCATAAAGCGATCAGGAAGCCCGGCCAGTGGAAACACTCCAAAGTTGAAAATCCTCTTTGGAACAAGCTCACGTACATGTGGCCAGTCCTTCCCAGTGGCCAGCTTAATGAGGTTGTATCACTTTATTATATGTCTTTAAGATCCGGTATCTGCTTAGCCTTCTGAAAATGCCCATGTACCTTTTGAATTTCAATATAAAAAAGTCTTGTTAATTCTGTTGATTACTGAAAAGAGGTATATAAATCTTTCACTATGGAAACAAATTGATCTTTTTTTTCTTGTAATCCCTCAAATTTTACTTCATATACTTTGAAATGCAGGTCTTAGGCATACATATGATCAGAATAGTATATTATAGTCACATTTGTCATTATGTAGAAACTCTGGGTATTTCTAATAAAAGTCTCAGTATTCAATGAAAAGCAACCCAAATTTTGGTTATCACATGTCTGGTATGTTTTCTTTCCATCATTTTACTTTCTGGTTTTGTATATTCTTAGAATGGGTCCAATAATCCCCTTAGAAAGTTTGTCTGATGTCATCCCCTCTGAACTAAAGCCGTTAGCCTTGTCTGTCCTAACTCCACATGTACCTGAATTTCTATTTTCTTCCTGTTTTTCATGCCTACCTTCCCGCACCCCAGTCTTTTATTCTTTTATCATAGCTTTTTTCTCTGTTTACTGGTTTGTACATTGTTCTTTGTATTTCCATTCTTTGGAGGGGTAGTGTTATTGTAATTACCCTGAACATTCTAACTTGCATAAATGAGTGACCAAATTGCAAAGTTAATAAACATGTTTTGTCTTCTTTCAAGTAATAGGAACATTAGAATAGTTAACTTCAACCTTATGATTTCTGAAATAAGGAATTAATTACTTTTTGCCATATGTTTAAGTTTTATCATTAAAATCTCCACAAGATACTAACATTTTTGCATGCAGTCAATATGTATTTCCACTTATTCTAAAGTTTTCACCTTACATCTCAGGTCCTCCACCTAAAGTTACTTTCCTTCTGGCCTGCATACCTTTCATTAGTACCTATTAGATATGTTTCATTTATCTAAAAATGCCTTTACTTCGCCCTTGTTTGCATCAGACTATCCCCCCAAATTCTTTGGCCCTTACTTGTAAAATGAAGAGAAAGAACTGAGGCATTAAATTAGCTGGAGTCAGATGGATGGACTGTGTCTTCCAAAATGACTGGGTTTCGGGGTCCTGCTGCTTCTTGAAATGTTTGGGGAAGAAAGGACTTAGCAAGCAGCGAACTCAAATTAAATACAATCCATTTCACTTCAAATCTGCGTCCATTTCATTTGAAAGACCCACATTTCCAAATCCTTCTTCACATAATGGATTTGGAAGTTTGACATTCCTATTGTGGAATTCAGAACACTTCGGGCATGTGTTCATTAATTTTATTCCAGATTTGATCTCCAAGTTTATGTTGTCTCTATTGTTTGTAATGTATTTAGGTGTCAGGGGTGGGAACAGGAAAATAGATGTGGTCTCTGGTGCCCAAATCTTACAGTTTAAGTATAGACTGTAAGAGAAGAGAAAATAAGTCAGAAAAAGGAGGTCAAGGTGATGAATAAAGAGTGAGGAGAGAGAGAGAGAAGTCTATGAACAGGCTTCTGTGTCCAAGCAGTAAAAGCTGAATGTCAAGGAAAAGCAAGTCGGGCTTGATAGCCTGGATGGGCCTGAACGTTGAGTCACAATATTGAATCTAGGAAAACCATCTAACAATCGCTGAACTGAGTGAGTATCTAGTTCTTTGAATTTCATGACAAGAGCTATTCAAAATAGAGTGACGATTAACAGAAGAGGTCTGAAATGCAAACACTGTGGAAATACAAAGTTATCTTCCTAGTGTCTCAGGCTGCGCACATGCCGAAAAACAAGACAGCTGATCTGAGAACTCATCCCATGCTGTTGCCACTGTTTAGATACTAGTAAAATGTAGTTAATAAGCTACAAAATTTCATGTATACAAGACATCAGTGTCTTAAAACATATTAAGCCTGATAAAAAACAGAGAACCAATACATTCTTTTGGTTTATTCTAAATAAACCAATGGTTTTAGGTTGTTCATTTTATTTAGGAATTGTTTAATTTATTTAGGAATAGTTTATAGGAATGGACCCTCAGGTTATTTTCTCAAACCTTGAAGAAAAGTTCTAAATTGAGAAATTACAGTTCTCAATCTTCAAAGACATGGAGTAATGGATTTTTCCTATTCAAGGATGAAACCATTAGAATTAGGGAGTTTAAAGAGGCTTAAGATTTTAGTATGTGCTACAGGAGATGATTATAAAACTAATAAGTTAAAATACATCTATTCGGATAGACCAGTGATAGAAGAAAATTAAAAGTACGTGTTTTATTAATCTGTTGAGCTATGACTTTTTTCAGTGACCAAAGATGATAAAGAGCATGCATGATGGGGATCTGAAGATACAAGACAGGGCACTGCATCTACATATGTACCATAAACTCTTTTACCAGTGATGTGCAGTCTTTTGAAATGTCAGGCAAACTCAAAAACAATTTAAAGAAAGGAAGGGGAGAGAAACACAACTTTAAATGAACAAGCAAGAAAAATGAAGATTTTGTTATTTATCACTAACAGACACAGTGGGGCCAATGTTGTGGAGAATCTGAAGTCATTGGTTAAGAGCTGACTTCTGAACCAACACATCTCTGTATTTGAGATGAGTGAAAAAGAAAGCGAGGGGAATTATCCACTTGAGGGAGCACCCGGGCCCCTTAGGAGTCTCCTGACGATGCAGCTGTGCTGTAGAATGGCCTGAACACAGAAAAGACCAATAGAGAAATGAATGGGAAGACCAGAATTCCAACCGAGAAAATGGAGGGGGAGAAACAACCGCAGTCAATTTAATTATCCATGTTTTTGTTGTCCATTATTATCCTGGGGCTGTATTTCTCTATTTGCATGAAGGGCAAAGTAAATGTCTTGGATGGGAAACCAGATATGCTAGCAAATCTCTATGATCCTATCACTTGGGAAGCTGAGGCAGGAAGATTACAAGTTTAAGACCATCCTGGGTTACCTAGATGGTGCCATGTCCTCCAGGACTGCACAGTGACACCGTGTCTCAGAAAAACAAACAAAAACCAATTTTAAAAAACTGTGAGGACAAGAATTAAGATATTTTAATTTTTTTTACATTTCATGTGTGAGTGTGTGTGTGTGTGTGTGTGTGTGTGTGTGTGTGTGTGTGTGTGTTTGAAGATGCATGTATGCCGTGTTGTTCCCATGAAGGTCATAGGACAACTTGTGGGAGTCTGTTCTCTCCTTCTACCACATGGGGCCTGGGGATGGAACACAGGTCATCAGCCTTGGTGACTAGCACTTTTATTTGGTGAGCCATCTCATCTACCCAAGAGTTAAAGTATCATAGAAGTAAGAATTTATGTTAGTAGCTCAGATATTTGGAAAGCTCATTTTCCATTTCTGGGTGTTTCTGTGATGGGGCTCTTTGGGGTTTCTTCCATCTACCTAGAAATCAGAGGAGCCATCTGAAGGTAGCAGGGCATCCATGGAGCTGAGCAAATGTCCTCAGTGACTACCACTGTCAGAGGCAAGTTGGAAACTAAATAAATCAAAACCAGCTAGGGGCTAAACTATCACATCTGATTTGTTCCTCAGAAATATAGTCTCTAAATTACTTTTGTGTTCCTGATAATAACCAAGGCAACTTAGAAAGCATTTAATTTGGCTTATGGTTTCAGAGGGTTGGAGTCCATGATGGAAGAGAATCAGATCAGATCAAAGGAAGAGCTGAGCTGAGAATTCATATCTTGATCCACAACCATAAAGTAGAGAGAGAGAGAGAGAGAGAGAGAGAGAGAGAGAGAGAGAGAGTTAACAGGAATGATGGGGACTTCTGAAACTTCAAAGCCCACCCTCAGATATATCTTCTCCAAAAAGGTCATACCTCCTGATCCTTCCCAAACAGTGCCCCCAAATAGGAATCAAGCATTCAAATAAATATATGATCCTTTGTGAGCCATTCTCAATCAAACAATCACAATGAGGTATTGAAAAATTCTTAGGTCCAAACCCTCATTTTATAAGTTGACAAGCACACAGGCTGAGAGAGAGAATCATTTCTTCCTTCCAAGGTTCAAGAGAGAGAGAGAGAGAGAGAGAGAGAGAGAGAGAGAGAGAGAGGTCAATAATTTCACACCCAAATGTCAATGTGAAATTAATCTATCTGTGTACATGTGACTTGTATATGTGTGTATACATATGACCCGTGTGTGTGTGCGTGTGTATGTGTGTGTGTAAACCAGAGAATAATCTTCTATCTTCAGGAATTGTCTATTTGTTCTTTTTACAGACAGAGTTTCTCATTAAATTAATTCTCATTAATTTAAATTAAATTCCCATTTAATTTCTACAATTAAAAAGCAAGAAAGACTAATGAGAGCAGCATTCAATTTAAGGAGTTGGAAGAATAATAGTAAGAATGAACTGTTAGGGACTAGGTAGCGGGCTGGAGATGTAGCTCAGTGGCAGAGTACATTCCTAGCATGCATAAGGCCCCATGTTTGACCACTAATACCACAAAAAATGCAAAAATTAGGAAAAAGCAAATAAAATAAATTATAAAATCAAAAGCTGACAAACCAGACTAAATAGCACATGTGCACAGAAGCATCAAAACAAAATAATCTGTTCTTTGAAAATATTAATAAAAATATATACATAGCCATACTTACTAAGAAAATTTGGATTAAATGAAATAATACTAAGAATAAAAGATGATATATAGCTGCTAAGAGAGTAGGAAAATGAAAGGATATTATAAATAACTATATGCTAGTAATTATAATAATTAATAAAATGGTCAAATTGTTGGACAAAAAGTAGTATATTAAAAAGAAGTCAAGAAGAAAGAAACAGGGCTGGTTGGCTGGCCCACGGGTCAAGGTGCTTGCCACCAAGTCTAATAACCAGAGTTCCATCCCTAGGGCCTACGTGTTATAAGAAGAGACCTGAACTGCCTGATAAGTTGTTCTCTGATCTCTAGCACACCGTTGCACACCCATAGCACCCTCCCAATAAAGACATAAATTTAATTAAAAAGAGACAGAAAACCTGAGTGGTCCATCAGCCATGGGGGGAAAAAAGTTAAGTCAACCCCACAACTACACCATGGCCTAGTTTTTCTGATTCATTGTATCAAATACATAACAAACAAAAAATTCAGAATTCAAACAAAAATCAAAGAAATATCTTCCAATTCATTTCACAAAGCTAGGGAAACATTGATACCACCCTTGATGAGGATACTATAAGAACTTTATATGCTACTTCCAGTTACATATATCTGCAAACTTTCTAATGAAAATATTAGCTAACTGAATCCAGCAATCTATAGGTTATATACCATGACTGGTTTGAATAAACAGCAGTCAATCTTTATGCAGAAATATTAACTTAATTTAAAATGAGAAAATTAGTTAATGTAATTGACACATAGATGATGCAAACACAAGTAATATAAACACAAATACATTCAAAAGAGCTTTGTATAGCCCAATGCATGTTTAGCACTTTAATGTGGATGCTCCAGATTGAAGCTGAGGTCTCCTTCATGCTACACACTGTCTCTGAGCTACCACCATATGCCATCTTACATCCTAAAAATGCAGCAAAATGGGACTTCCTTAACTGCACATAGAACATTTATATAGCGAACAAATTCCGAGAAGCTGACTTAAATGTACATGCAATGGCAGAGGGTCAACAAAAGCCAACATGCAAAGAAGAATAAGATGGAGGAGCCCAGATACCAAGACTTACCAGATATGGAGTGTCACCAGACAGGAGAACACTGTGCATGGTGGACAAACTGACATGTTGAAGAGAATGGACTGATGAGTTTTTCAGAATGGGCAGTACAGATGGATGGTGGATGCCACCAGGCCAGTTGCTAATGCATGTGAGAGGAAATAAGGAAAAATGGTGGAAAGGAAGGGGAGCCTGGGGTGGGAGCGAGCTTGTCTTTTGCTCAACGTCATCTTTGATCACTCTTTCTTCCATTCACTCCGCTTGCTCCTTTTAAGCTTTGTGGATAGCAATTGTATTTCCCGACCATCCCAGGTGTGCTGTGAGCCATCCTTGGTTTCCTCATTTCCCACACATCATGCTCCACTAAGCTTCATATCTGATGTGCACACTTCTACCGATCCTTCGCTGCTCTAAGGCCAGCACTCTTACCAAAGGAGCTGTACCCCCAGCACCCAAACAGACAAATACGACAAAATGAAATACCCTGTTTGAATTGACACAGTATTGCAACTACAGTCTAAGCCTTCAGGACTGTGGTGTGACCTTACAGAGTCAGGGTCTCCTCCTGTGAGATTCTCTGCAGCGCCTTCCTTCGTTATCATGACTTTCCAGTTGATGTGTAAGTAAGCTTCTGCCATCCTTAAAAGTATAGATTATGCTATCCAGTTTTTAGTTTTATTTCTGTTCCTAAAATAAATAATCAGTAACTATTTGAGGAATGGATGAATAAATAATACGAGTAAAAGTTTAGATAAATAAATATGAAGTCACTAAATTCCACAAAGGAAAATATGAAATGTGTTATTACTTCATCATCTTATTCTGCTTTTTAACACCTCTCCAGTGTGGTCTGCCCCGCCATCTTAATCTAGTTTAAGATGATATCATTTCAGGTTATTGTAAAATTCCTTTTCACACATTTTTTGTTTCCTTCACACTGACTAAAAATACTTCACACAAAAGCAAAACCAAAGAATCTTGAGGTTAATTCACTTCTACTTTTCTAATATGTTTCTTTCCTTTGATACTTTGAAAAAAATCCATCTATTTTAAATATAAAAAGTTGGATACCTTTAAAAAAGTGATCAATTTTAACTAAAAAGAAATCACTGAATTTCTTGTTTATGCAAAGAAATACCTACAATTCTTTGGAACAGCTCAGATGTCCAATAAATTTTTGCTAAATGAATGAAGGATTAAAGGTACAAAAGACTCAAAATAATTATTTCCCTTATTTCCTTTCACTCATTTTGAAGGCGTTTGACTGGCCAATAGAAGGTCTGCTGGTGCCGAAGAGCCCTCCCATGAAGAGGCCGGTTTGTAAGAAAGCAGGGCAGTGTGGCCCTGTGAGACTCCGAATTCTCAGGAATGGAGATAAGAAAAAGAGCAGACCCCTCGTTATTGGCCCAGACATCTCACTGGGGTGGAAATCACAGTAAGAGCAAAAACCCATTCATACTCACCTTTCAGTACACTTTCCAGGTTCTACAGACATGTGTCTTCAACTTGAATGTTTTCTGGAGGAATCACATATTGATTCAAAAAGGGTCCTATTTAAAGATGAAAACAGACACACAATTTTATTTAGTTTTTTTGTCAGGAGCTTAAACTGATCTCTTCTGTTTTCCTCCACACACGAACAGAAGAAGGAGTTAGTAAGGAGTAGCGGCTGCAATTTGAGCAGCTCTATGTTCTCAATTAGTGCTTTTGTCTGAGTTTTACTAGTGTATGTGAATAAGTGAATTCCCAACATGCTTGTTAAATTTAGCTTTTAAATTGGTGAAGCATTATTGTAAATAATTATCCTTGTGTCTTTGGGTTATTTAAGACACACAGTTCACTGAAGTACCAGGAAAGCGTTGATCTGCAGTGGAAAGTTACTCTGCAAATAAAATCATCCCAAACATCCTGTATTTCTCTCCCACGGGAGATAATTCACCTGCTGTCTGGCTCTATTTTATGGATTGTGGAAGAGCTTTGATGGGAAGAATGAGTTAAACACATTGTTTCTCATATAATTACCAGCAATGTTACCTCTTGACCTTTCTTCTGAGATATTTAGGATATCTGAGGCTGCTGATAATAGTTTAATATTACTCTCTTCACATCGATTAAATATACTTCATACATCACTGAACAATGAGTAACATTCAGATTGGCTGTCCACTGAACTGCCTGTAAAGATGATAAAGTAAAAAATTAATCTTCAAAGTAAAGTCAAGCCTGAAATTGAAATCTTTGACGCATACATCTCATAATTAGCTCATTCTGCTCGATGTAAGATGTGAGGGTAATGCCCTTAAAGAGAGTATGACTTTTCTCTAAACACCCGAAGTTAACACATCATTTCTATCCCTTTCTACATTTATGCTTTTTTTTCTTATTGTGTACCTTTAATTGTAATTATAAACTATTATATTTATGCTTTTTTCTTATTGTGTACCTTTAATTGTAATTATAAATTATTACATTTATGCTTTTTTTCTTATTGTGTACCTTTAATTGTAATTATAAATTATACTCAGGAAACATCTTCTCTCTTCGGTGTTTTAAGCGCTTAGCTCAGTCAAGGAAATCAAAAGTATTTTGAGGGATCAACAATTTGGAACAAGTATCCTGACAGAGAGTGTGTGGATTGCCCCGTTGTCTGAATTCTCTACTTGTGGAACAATGTGTCCTGATTCATCAAGTGTTCAGAAAGGAGACAGCCGCTTTGTCCACCCCCTGAATTACTTTTGCCCAAATAATTAAAATAACCAGACATTTACTTGACAAGAAAATCCTCCCAAACAGAGTTCAATGTTCCTTTACTGACTAAAACAGTTTTGTGCAGAATCATCCATAGCAATCCCAGAGCTGCATGGAAATACTGCTTAACAAAAGGTTTAGATGGAGAGACACAGCTAATTTGAGAGCATGGTTGTGTGGCCCTATCTCCAGAAGGGACACATTGGAGTCTGTGTAATGGCATCCCAAAGTTAGGCAGCTTATTGGAATTCCTTCAATAGACCCAAGCTAAATATCTTCCAGAGGGAAAGATTTTACTGACACATGGAATGCTTTGCTTGCATTAACATGAAATGTATTTTTTTTTAGTTGAGCTATTGTGAATATGCATGCATGCATGTATGCATGTATATATGTATGTATGTATATATGTATAGCATGCTAGAATAATGATAAAAATCCATTTTTGCACCACCATACTGCTCTGGCCACAAGCCGTCCTTCAGCTGTGTAACAACTCGGTGTGGACGGTTTCAAGGGTCTGCTGTTGGTATTGGTTCCACCATCTACAAAGCCTGAGGAAGACAGCCCCTGCCTCTCTGTATCATGGTCACCTGCTGTGCTGTTGCATATCCCAGTGTGTGCGGCCCGCCCTGTCACGTGAGGATGAAAGCTTTAGCGAGCCACGTCAACAGCACCTCTTTAGTACACACCACCATCGAAGGCTGCAGTGGGCGCCAAAGCAGCACTCATGAATGATGGACTGTATTTGATCCGGCTTTCAATTCCTAAAATACAATGATTATAAAACTACCCAGAACAGTTCTCTCACTTGAAAATCAGAATGAAGATATGTCCCAATCAAGTAGTCTTTTCCTGATCATCATTGTTTAAAATTTGTTTAGTTTAGATTCATAATAGAATCATTAAGTAAATAATGCATTACAGAGAAAAATGAATGTCGGCTTTAAGTTTTTTTATTTACATTTTAGAGTGTTCAGCTCTGTGAGAAAAGGATTGGAATATTGTAGATAGGTTTTCTTTTATAAATCCCTCACAGAATACATGTTTATTTAGCGTGCCATATCATTCAGTATACAGTATGAAGTTTTACATTTAATTATGAATTGTGAAGTCTAATATTTAATTATATTAAAAATTGAAATTTTATCTTTTAAAGGAAGACAGATTATTGGCAACAAAACATTGTAAGTTAAGGTTTCACCACTTTTAAGCATGTTAAGACACGCTGTAGCTAATCAAGAATGTCAAGTAACATGCACATGTCTTGAATTATTTGTTACAGAAATGTTAAACCTGAAGGGAAGGAGAAAAGCCATGCTTCAAACTATTCTGAAACAGAAAGAAACCAGATTGAATTTCAGCACCTTTTGGAGAGGTAAATGTTTACTATTTGAAATGCAGATGTGTTTTGCATGTGAATGCTTGAGTGGTCACACTTAACAGATAGCACACAAAACATTTCTCTATATAAGTTGTGAATACAATGACTATAGACATTTTAATCGTGTGTGTGTGTGTGTGTGTGTGTGTGTGTGTGTGTGTGTGGATACACACACACACACATATATATGTATATATATATATATATATGTTGTGATAGGAGGTCAAAGCTAATTTATAAAATCTCTTCCAAAATACAAGGTTGGGAAATTCCAGAAACCAGAACACAAGAGGCCTGTCATTTGAACCTAGACAATCTGACTTCAGAAGACACAGTCGGTATAAGGTGCCAGAAGTCAGCTGTTTTCTGCTCCACACTTAGACGCTGGCTAGCATGGAAGCTAGAAAGAGGAGGGAGAACAGAGAAAACAGCTCATCTCAGCCCTCTGCAGCCTGCCTGGAAGGGCCAAATTCAGCTCTAAAACTAGGGTTTCAAAACAGGCAAAAGGGTAAAGAAAGATTAATTAGCCACCCATTCCTTCTCCTCTGTTACCCAACTGTCCTAACACAGGATGTTCCCCCAGGTGAGCATTCACTCTAGGAAAATACGAGTGAGGGCACAAATGCTGTTATACCATGGATTCCACTGTAACCACACAGATAGGCAAGGCTATCAGTCCGGGGAAATGAGAAGGCACTGGATTAGCTCTTTGAATATTAGTCACACAGAAAGAGGGCAGCCCCGCCCACTGCTGTGAGTGAGGAATCGCACGCAGTGCACACTGCTCCATCAAATGGGGCATGAGATGATGTATTTCTTACTGGCTTACTTCCTTTCAAGACCCCCTCAAGGACATAACTGGTCTCATTGTCTGCTTAACTGCTGCATGCTGATGTAGGAAATAAGGGTTAGAAGTGTTTCATACTCAGTCTTGCTGAGGAGCACCAAGTCATTTCTAGCTCACTACAGTGATACCTGTAGCACCAGTAGTGTCGTCTGTCAAGACCGTCATCCCAACAATATTCTTTAGGAAATGGCCCAGTACATCTGTTAGCTCTATTTCTCCCTCCCTAGGTAGAACTCACGTTTGTTATTCTAGAATCCTGAATACCTTCAAGCTGCTCCTATCTTCTTTACGGGCTCATCAGATCCCAACCCATTCATACACTCAGGTCCAGCCCTAACTCTTCTATTTTATTTTTAATTTAATTTTTTTATTTCTTGAGAATTTCATTTCTACCTTCCTACTTCCCCCCAACTCCTCCTCTCCCCTGTCAAGTTCCGTTCCTTCTTTAATTGTTATTGTTTTACACACACACACACACACACACGCACGCACGCACGCACGCACGCATGCACGCACACACACCCCAACTGAGTCCCTTTGTGTTCTTCATATGTACTTGTGTTTAGTGATGATAATTTGGTATTGGATAGCCTATCTGGGGACTCATCTCTGGAGAAAACTGATTCTCCCTCCCTCAGCAGACATTGATTGACTTATAACTCTTCATCTAGGGTGGGACCTTATGGAATGTCTCCACTCCATGTTGTCATGTTAATTGATATGGTCATTATGCAGGTATTGTTTAAGCAACTATACTATTGATATTTCATGAGTGCTATGTCATGGTCATGTCTAGAAGACTATCTTAGCAGGCATCCACGTTCTCTGACTCTTACAGTTCTTCTGCCTCCGTATCCCATGACATTTCCTGAGCCTTAGGTTATGTTGTACATCTTCTAATGGGCTAGACACCCGCTTGTCACTTACTCTCTACATTTTTACCAGTGGTAGATCTTTGTAGTGGCCTCTGTCTACTGAAAAAAGAAGCTTCTCTGGTGAGGGGTGGGCACCATGCTTATTTAGAATACAGTTAGAAATGATATTGGTTTAGAAAACCGGCAATAGTGTGTTCCCTCACTAGGGTCCATGACCTCTTCAGCCATGGGGGGTTAGCTAGGTTTACAATACTCAGCATGCATTCCCTCCTATTGGATGGGCTTTAATTCCAATTAGACAGCTGTTAGTCACTCCCAAGTTAATAGTCCCATTGGAGGTGTCTTACTGGCCAATCATTTGTTGTAGCAAAGGCTTTAGAGTTGGGTGGGATTATTAATGCCTTGCATAGCACTTTCCGATGTTATGAAAGCTAACCCTCAAGGAGAAGGCTTCCATGTCAATTACAGCTTGATTCCTTCAAGTGCTGTGTCTGAAGTGGGAGCTGTCTTCTGCAGTTGGGTCTTACTTTTGAGTTCTGGAGGAAACCTAGGGTAAGGGCAATAGTCTGTGTTGTTTTAGGAGTCTCTTGAAAACTCCTGGCCAACAACTTGAAAAGAGGTTTTCAATGCCTAACATAGGGGGTTTTGTTAGATAGTCTATGGATTTGGGTGAAAATATCACCCCACATGGTATAACTACATTTGAACTATATAAATGCATACACACATAAATTGTGTACATTTGTATTTTTAAGTAAGCTCATAAAATTATGTTTCCCTTACTGCCTTTTTGCACATCCTTAGTGTTGCAGCTTCTTTCTCTTTCCTTCTGAACGACTCTCCTTTCCCCTCCCCAGTCAAAGTCTTGTCTGAGCCCCTTCCCCCTTTCTCCCTCCATAGCACCCATGTCCTGTTCTTAATGAACTCCTATTCATGCTTTCAAGTCCAAGCCAATGTCACTTTCTTCAATAAAGCCCCTGCAAGAAGGAATCCACTGTTTTCCTTTGTTATTAAAAAACACTGGCCATTGTTTACAACAGCACCCACTGCAGCATGCTGAGCGTCAGCGGATGGCCTGTCTTCACTCTTGACTAGACAGGCGACTCATCCAGGAGTCAAGAATGTACATAATTTGCCGGGCGGTGGTGGCGCACACCTTTAATCCCAGCACTCGGGAGGCAGAGCAGGTGGATCTCTGTGAGTTCGAGGCCAGCCTGGGCTACCAAGTGAGTTCCAGGAAAGGCGCAAAGCTACACAGAGAAACCCTGTCTCGAAAAACCAAAAAAAAAAAAAAAAAGAATGTACATAATTCATCTCAGTGCCCACAAAATATTGTGTGAAATTGAGGGGCAGAGGAATCAATGATAACATTTAACCAGGCAAAAGTTCTGGCTTTAATCACTTCTGGAGGAGAAAGATGAGAAACTGCTTGGTGATAGGTGTGGCTTTGGTGACTTTGGAGAAAGCATGGAACTTCAACTGAAAAAGCCAAGGAATGTATTTTAGGTAGAAGGATGAACATGAGTAAAAGTCATAGAAATGGCCAGATATAGGTAAGACACAGGCTGAGAAAGTTTGAATTTCTTAAGTCTACAAACCGGAGACAGGAACTGAGAATCCAAAGGATACACTGGCTCTTGAGTCTTCATTAATGGCCAGGCCTTGGTTTCTTTGGTCTTCTTACCTTACTCCTCGAAGCCATCTGTATGCAAAATCAACGTGCATGTCTCTTGTTGCAGGTGCACTGAAATTCTAAATTTACCTTCTGCTGCTCGGAGGCTTTTCAATGAAAAAGGGAAGGAAATTTTTTCCCTGAATGACCTGCAGAGAGATGAACTGGTAACCAATGGGAGGGTGGGATTGGAAATGTGAATACATGAGCACAAACTAAGGAAAACCCCCTTCAGTGCAAGGCTTTTGTGCTTACCATCCTGTTCTCTCTCAGAATTCTCACCAAGGAGTCAACCAGCAAAAAGCAATGCTAACCAACAGCATTACTGCCTTCCTCGGCAGCGAGCCAGGCTTGTGTGACTAAATATGATAAGTAAATACATGTTATCATGCCTCTTTAAAAATGACACCTTTTCTCCACTACAGAACCTAAGGCAGGCCAATTATTTACTGCCTCTGATTTCTACATCTGTTGCTGAAGGAGATAGATCCTTAATTCTTTTTTAAATCTATGTATAGTTATTAAATGATTTTCTTACTAGATGACCAATTTCCTCACTTTCTCAGATTTAAAAAAAAAGTATACCTTTTAATACACTCTACTTGGAGTCTAGAGGAAGCTGAGAAATAGAAGGTTTTGCACAGCCTAGTCTTGCCCACCCCACTTCCATTTCTGGAATTAGAGATATCAGAATAGTTTAAAAAATTCCTTGCTCTGACTGATACCTGAAGTTCCTTGGAAAAAGAAGAAAGATCATACTATATTACCACATCTCCAAGCTGGGCATGGTGGCTCATGCTGGTAACCCTAGTACTCCTAGAGGTTGGGATGGAGCTGGGAGCACATCTGTAGTCAACCAGGATTTAACTCATCAGTCTGTGAGTGTGAAGACTGTAACAGGACCAATTATTAGATTTAGTATCTATGAGAGAACAGGAAGCCTATTGTTCAAGAAAGGGATACCTAAGAGGAACTTTCCTGCATCCTTGTGCAAAGAGCAAATGAGGAGTGTATGATGATTGCAAGAGGTGGCACTGGGGTTCTCTTCAGACTGAGTCTCAACGTGTCATTATTTTTTTCTTCTCTTTAAGGAGATATATGCCAGGTGTGGTGACACAGTCCTACACTCCCAGCAGTCAGGAGACTGGGGCTGGGTAATTTTGAAGTTCAAGGCTAGACTGGGCTATATAGAGGGACACTGTCAGGGGGAAGCTAAGAAGGATGGAAGAAAGGAGAGAAGAGAATGTATTTAAAGGCATTTAAGAAATAGATACATGGAAAATGAGGCAAAAGTGCTACCTATAATATTATTATCCAGAAATTACATATCCATATTTTGTGTGCATTTAGTATTGTTCAGTAAGCTAAAACTATCTTAAAAGAGAAATATCAATCCTATATAATTTTAATTGAAATAGAATTCTATACAGTTTTTAATTAAAATAGAATTATGTCACTTTCTCTCCTTTTTCTCCCAACCACTCTTCCTCAAAATTCCTGCAAGTCCCCCTACTCTCAATTGGTAACCTTTTTTCTTTGATTATTATTGTTTGTATGTATGTGTATGTATAAACAAGACCAGAACAGTGGCAATATCAACAGACATGTTAACATGGGAGGGTAACAATTTCATAGAGTCCTACCCCCAAAGAAAGAATTACAGGCAACTGATGACTACTGAAAGAAGGAGAAGTAGCCTCTCCCAGGGATGAGCCCTTTATTGGTTGTCAATTCAGAGTGGCCAGCCTAGAAACCATACACATACAAACAGCAAAAACAGATCCAGGGGCGTGCATGTGTGCGTGTTTAAAAAGATCTTGATTTTTCATTATGTGTATGCTTGTGTGTCTCTGTGTGGGTTTATACACATATATGCAGTGTCTCTGGAGGCCATAAGTGGGCGTTGTATCTCCTGAAGCTAATTTACAGGTGGTGGTGAACCACCCAATATGGATGCTCGGAACCTAGCCCTGGTCTCTGCAAAAGTGGTACACGTTTTTAACTGCTAGCTATGTTCCCACATTAATACTGCAAGTCCAATTATGCAAGGCATCTTAATCTTTTTTCCATGAAAGGGCAGGTAGTGAGGATCTTAGGGTTTGGTGACTATGTGGTCTCTACTGGAACACCAGCCACTGACTACACGTAAACAAATGGGCAAGCCTCTTTCCCAGTAAAGTTGTATTTACAAAAAGTACCAGCAGCTCACATCTGTGCCATGATCACAATTGGCTAGCCTCTAACATGCATGCCAATTCTTCCTTCTTTCCTTCCCTTCCATTAAAAAAAAAAACTTACTTGAAATTTTTTTTATTTGTAAATGATTACAGACTTATAGGAGTTGCAAAGAAGAAGTGGAACATTTTTTTCTGCTCCATGTTGTGCTGTATGAGAGGTTGGCATCACTGGCAAGCCATGGGAGAGACCCTGTGGCCTAACGGCACACATACAGTTAAGGCTTTGCTGCCTGTCATGTGCTCTCAGAACCAGTGCCTTTGTGGGTAGCAATGTTCCTTTTCATTACTGGGTGGTATTCCATGATACTGCAGTTTGGCTGTTCACCCACTGTAAGGTCCTGACTGCTGTGACTGCTTCTATTCCGAGCCGTTTCTTGAATAAAAGTGCTTCCATCCTTACACACCAGATTCCTGACTCATTTCTTTGATAGGTATATGTTTCATGTGGAGAACACTGGGTTAATTCTGACCTCTCCATTGCTCAACAAAGGAAGCAAGTCTTCCTCAGGAGCCTTGAGTCTGACGTTTCCAAGATTAAAACCTTTTGCAGCATGTGCAAGGTGGAAGGTAAGCTTTCAAGTTACCTGCCTTTGATACCCCAACACACCGGATGACATTGCTTTATATTAAGATCATGTTTATTTCAACAGCCCATGTTTCAGCTCTGCATCTGGCTGTTTAGCTCTTTAGCTCATTTGTAAAGTATATTTAACAGTGTTGCATATTTTATTACCTACTATACTTTGGAAGAGCAAAAAGATTAAAAACAACAACAAAAAAAATCATACAGATATATGATTTGTGAGCCCCATGCATTCCCATCAAGGAAAAAAGGATTAAATGTCCAATCATGTTTTAATGTCGTACCATCTGTTTATGTAATCAATCTCTTAGGCAAGGCTTTAGGACTTTCTAGTCTACAGAGCCTCACTTGGCTAGAGGAAAGAACTTGCGATGTAGATCCTCTTGTGCCTGGGCTCCCAGGCTGAAGTCTTTGTCTGGGGTCACTTGTATTTGTTCATTTGGCCTGGATAGTACTTTGAGTGGGCCATGTGCTTCCTACCTGGCTCAGCCTCCTTCCTGCTCTGTCTTGCTCTCTGGAACCAGGCAGTGGCAGCTGGCTTACCTCTGACTAACAAGCCACCTTATCCTTGTTTGTCAACCGCTTTCGGAGCTTTCCAGAAAGCTTCTTGGCAATTGATAGGTCATAGCTGCATCTCCAGAATGCCAAGTCCATATGTATGTAGCCATGAGGGGGTCATGTCACAGAGGACTGACATTTCCCTAGTGATGCCTGTAAGGTGAAATAGGATTCCTTGTACTGGTTTCTGATATTCTCTGCCTTCTACCTCTGTCCCCGCAGGCCAATACTGAAAGTTAAACTCTGTATACACTAAATAGGAGGGAAAGGCTTGTGGGAAAAGTAAGCATCGGTGCTGTGTTTCTTGACTTACCTTGTGTTGTCTTGGGACAATATGCTATTTGAATGTCAAAACTGTCATTGGCATCTGGGGAGGTAGCTCAGTCAGTAAACTGCTAGCCACTGTATTTGATTGCCAGCACTCTTGTGAATAGTCAAGTGTGGGTACAAGAACCTGTGATCCCAACGCTAAGGACAGAGACTGACTCACTGGTCAGCTAAACCAGCCTAATGAGTGATCTCCAGATCCCCATGGGGAGCCCTGGCTCAACAAACAAGATGGATGGCTGCAGAGGAACAACATATGGTTGACTTCTGCCACCCTCTCCTGCTCCTGTCTTGGGACTTTTGCTTTTCTCTCGTAGCATCTCTCCCTTCCTTATGAGCTTCCTCTATCCTGTATCACAGTAAGAAATGACCATTATCCCACACACAAAGTTTCCCACACATCTTTCATAGTACTGGATTTCATGGTTGAGTCTGAATCCCAGAGAACAATCTAAAGACATAAATGTAAATCCTATAGCTTATTTGAATCATTGGAATAGAGAATTATTAGATTAACCTTGGAAATACCTATTATTACTAATTTTATCTAAGTATATCTTGAGAGGAAAGAATTGGCAAGCATCCCTTTAAATAAAGTCCAACTTCTTAGTTTAAAGGATGCCCAAAGGCTGAAGGTTTTGCACTTGTGTGTGTATTTTGAATTCCTGCTGCTCTTCAGTCAGGACTAATACGTCTTTGCAATTTGTTCATTTCTTCTCAGCTCTTGTTTTAGAAGTTCAAAGTGAGCTTGTATCTGGGGGCAAGCTTGCTGTGCGTCAACCTGTAGTCATTTTGGAAGAAGAGAAGCAAGTGAAAGGACCAGAGGGAACTCAGATACAAAATGATGCTTTAACACCAGGAGATGCTTCCAGAGACACTCTGTAAGTAGTCACTGTGGCCAGAAAAGGGACCAGTGCTATGTGACCGCAGCTCTTCCACCCGAGGCAGTATGGAGCCCATGCAGGGAACTCAGAGAAGTTTCTGGAATTCCATCACTTGAAGACACAGTATCTACTTAGTTGTTTTTTTTTTTTTTTTTTTTTTGACAGATTAATGGAGCTAGAGCTTTAATTATAACCTTCATTTACTTTCAGTGATGTAGCTATAATGTGATGATTTTTAAAGACAGTATCTTAGTATCGTACTTTCCTTCCTTCCTTCCTCCCTCCCTCCCTTCCTCCTTCTCCTCCTCCTCCTCTTCCTCCTCCTCCTCCTCCTCCTCCTCCTTCTTCTCTCTCTCTCTCTCTCTCTCTCTCTCTCTCTCTCTCTCTCTCTCTCTCTCTCTCTCTTCCTCATCATGGTCCCAGTAAACATTGAATCATTCTGAGCCACTGAAATAGCTTTCTGGAGGATCTCCATAATGCCATCCTTTCAAGTCCTCTAAGGTCCATCTGTAGACAGCTATCCTGCTAACATGTCAGCCCTTCACACAGTGCTTCAATGAGTGCCCAGGCTGACAAGTTGAGTAATAATCTGGCCCTCAGTCCTGCCTGTCAGTGACCCCATCATGGTCATTCCCATTTGGCACAGTCTTGCTGTCTAACATACCAAGTTCTAGTAGGTGACAGCTGTGACCTGAAGGTAGCATATTCCTAAGGTTTGACGCAGATACTTCTTTCTTTCTGCCTCAAGTTCTCTTTCTTGTCACACACTTACCTGTGGTGACTTCACTAGTTGCAGGCGGCGCTGTACATGGCGATGTCCTTGTCAGACCTCCTCTCCCTGATCCTTCTTGTCCAACTTGGGGCCTCAGTGTGAGAGGACTCCACGCCACATGCTCTGCAAAGGCTGAATAAGGGAATGATTGAGTTCATTCCAGACAAGGCCTTAATTCTCTTCTCCTGCTGTGGGCTGTGGGGGTCAAACTCAAGTTGCCAGTCCCAGTGACAAGTGCCTGTACCTGCTGAGCCACTGCTGGCCCACCTTGTTACCAACTTGTAGGAAGCTGGTTTCAGGAAGCACCTTTCTTAGTCTGACAAGTGATTCATCTAGTATATATCTCAAAACTACCACAGGCACTGGGAAGCAGTTTTTGCTTTCAGAGAGTTTCTCCCGTGTGGCATCTCCCTAAAAGTTAGGGAATTGGACACAAACTTTCCTAACAACCCTTTCATTCTTCCGAAGAATGTTTCCTCTGGCCTCTGAGTTACCAGGCTGCATTTAGACAAAACAGAGTGAAGAAAATGAAATTATCTTCAAGAGCAAATATCTGCTTTGTGAATCAGTCACAACAAGGTCTGGAGGTGAGGGAGCTCATAGCACCCAGAACACAGTGTGGGTCTCACCCAAACACCCCCGGCAGGCTTTGTAACCCAGGCTCCAAGATTTTCAAAGTCCAGGGTACCACTGGCTCACAAGGCAGTTCATTCTGCCTTGATGATTGTACTGGCTGGTTTTGTGTGTCAACTTGACACAAGCTAGAGTCATCACAGAGGAAGGAGCCTCAGTTGAGGAAACGCCTCCATGAGATCCAGCCATAAGGCTTTTTCTCATTTAGAGATCAATGGAGGAGGGTCCAGCCCATGGTGGGTGGTGCCATCCCTGGGATGCTGCTCCTGGGTTCTATAAGAAGGTGTGCTGAGCATGCCATGGGAAGCAAGCCAGTAAGCAGCTCCCCTCCATGGGATCTGCATCAGCTCCTGCCCTGTTTGAGTTCCTGTCCTGATGTCCTTCAGTGATGAACAGCAATGCTGAAGTATAAGCCTAGTAAACCCTTTCCTCCTCAACTTGCTTTTTGGTCATGGTGTTGTGTCGCAGCAATAGAAACCCTGACTAAGACAGATGACTGACTCCTAGAAATCTCTGTCCCTTGAGCTCGTGCTTCCCTGTGATGAGCTCCACTTCTGGCTGACTTTAGTCCCCACTGATTAGCGTACCTAGCTGTCCCTCTTTGGAAATCACTGTCACTAGTTCTCTGAGCTGTGTCTGAGGACATCGTCTTCTGTATCCATTTCATTGGGGTTTTGTTTATTTAGTTTTTAGTTAGCATGAGAAGTCATGGGTTTGGCTCCCAACACTTCCCAGTGTTTCCATACATTCGTCTCATTATGTGTTACTCTTGTTCACCTCCTCCCCTGCTGCCCTTCCCCACCCTCCTTCCTGCTCTGCCTTGGTCACCTTCTTCCCAAATGCCCCCATTGGGCTTCCATGTCACATGTCCATTACCTTCTCTCCTGGTCCTTCCTCCCTGTATGGTAAGGTGGCTTTGATGACAAGACTCCATGTTAGAAAGTCACTGTGTGATGTCTCTGGAATCCCTCAATCTGCATCTTTGGAGGATCTAGCGTGTGAGAATTGAGATGATTTAAGGAAGGATATCCAGGAAGCAAGTTCTGAGAACATAAATCTATAACCTTTTCTTTCCTTTTGGAGATTTAATTACAGCATTTCTCCCTTTCCTCCATTCAAACCCTTCCATGTACCCTTCCTTGCTCTCTTTCAAATTCATGGCCTTTTTTTCCACTATCACGTGCATATCTATATGTACATATATGTTCCTAAATATAACCTGCTCAGTCAATATGTTACTTGTATGTATGTGTTCAGGGCTGAAAGGTGGGCCTTTTTCATTGCTGGGTTCTGCGGAGAGGTGTGTGGCAAAGTCTGTAAAAAGCAGTGTGGGGAAGAGCCTGGGTACTGAGGTCTGCATCCCTGCTGATGGGAAGCAAGTTCAGAGCACAGAACGTGGTGATGGCCGTTCTCACTTCTCACAGTATTGCAGAGGTTGTCCCTTCCTAGCTCCCGAGCCCTGTGTGGAACTCCCTCCCTAAGTAATCACTCTATCATATCAGCATCTTCCTGTCCCTCAAATGAATCAAATGTATTCTTGATCTTTGAAATTGTGTTTATTTACTTGGTTCTGATTAGAACACTCTTCCTCACATAGCCAGCTTCTTCCTAGTGCTCAGTTTTAAGATGGCCACTGAGAGGACTCTTCGGCTCCATTTCTGAAGTGCTGGAGATCCCATCACATGCCTCCCCACTGCCGTATTCTGTTTTCTTCCGCAGGGGAACTAGTTGTGGTTATTCGTTTCCTGGTCTGTTATCTTTCCTTTTCCCAACACAATTTGAGTACAGTGAACTGAGACCTTACATGTCCCGTTCATTACTGTTCTCAGCACAACGAGTTCTATACCTGGCGTAAAGTAGATGTCAGATAAATATTGGTGAAAGGAATGAATAACAGTGGAGGATGCATCTTATGGATAAGCAATTTGGTTCATTAGATCACTTAAACAAGATAGATTTTTACAAGGCTTTTCTAGAATTGACTTGACTACATTTGACTTGACTACCAGGACTAGCAAAGGCTAATAAACCCCAAGCAGACTATAGGACAGAAGACTGTCTTTTCTGTTTCAAACACAAGATGGCACTAGTGTATTTTTAACAACTGGGATCTGCTGACTTGGGAAGCTGCTTGTACTCTGAAGGAGGGCCTGGTTGCACTCCAATCTCATACCCATATGCAGCACTGGTCCTGGCACTTGAAATCTGCAAAGCCAGATGAGTTAACACCAGAGTTGCTCTGGAAGACTTCAGTCACTTGATAATGCTTGTAGTTACATCAAATTATCACCACTACCTTGTTAATCATAGCCTATCCCAGAGAAAGAACTTTATTTACCCAGTTGCACAGCAGGCCTGAAATACATTGGCTGTTTTGCCTGTGTGTTTATCCGACCTTGGCAAAACAGTCTTCATAATGCTGTATCCTGATATTACTCAAAGCAAATGTGTTTAAAAGCAACCTGGACTTTGGAATCCATGGATCTGAAACGTGGCTGTTCCTCCTGCCCACCTTAGTCTTGAGTATTCAAACCATCACTATTTTATTCTGAAGTTTCTATGTACTTTTCTCAATTAAAAAGCGTGCATGCAGCTGTGATTTGAGTCACACTAGATTCCTCTATTGAGAGGAAGAATCCTTAATATCATCTCCAGAATAAACATATGCAATCTGGTCATCTGGGCTATACTGCTTTGGACAAAATTAGGAGCCACCTAAGCACCAATGTGAGGAGTGTAATTTCATGTTCATTATGAATTGCTCAAACTATTGTTTAATGGTCTTAATATAACTTTGAAATATAAATAGACTATTTAGACTGCACAATTTAGACTGTTAGTAGAAGCCTACAAATAAAACCCCTCAATTGCATAAGTAACAGCATTCATTTTTATTATTTTAGTTTAGAAAATGAGTCATGTATTATATTTGAAAATAGGATTTACAGAAGTGCCAATATCCTGCAGGCTGTGGTCAGGCTACAGCTGGAGTCTCTGTGAACATACATCAGCATTCTTAGACTTGGCTTTGCCCCTGCTTCTTGACAGAGATTCACATGCGAGAGCACATCTCCGCATGGAAGCCTGTTGCAGGATGCTCAAGTATGCCTGGCAGGACCCTTCGTACAACCTTGCTGATGATGGCAACCTTCCAAAGAAAATGGAGAAACAGTTCTTTGAAAATGTGCAGCCCCAGAAGAAACACAGGTAAAATTTACAAGGGATTCCTGTTGGAAGGTTACATCTGGCCTTAGACCCTCTCATGCTGGTACAAGCACATTACTTAACATTTTTACTTCAATCGACTACTGCGTGTGCCAGCATGCACATTTTTGTCTTGTGATGCTCATCAAAGCATCTGTGACTGGTAGAAAGAGTAAGTTCTTTACCCCTCGGCTCCCTGTGCAGGCTGACATGATATCTTGGTATCTGATGGACTTTTTCTACTAAACAGTTGTTTCATCCACCTTTGACTCCTGCGAACTTAGAATAGAATTCAAACCTTAGTGTTCATTGGATGAATGTGTGCATAAATTACTAAACACTCAAGTAGGGTGTCCTTAATGCCTTTAAGAAGCTAGGAGAATACAATTTTTCCTTTTAAACATTTTGTTCTGGTTGTCATCCAATGAAACGTTGAGAATACAACATACATTATATTTTACCATAATTTTTAGACATTTGCTTAGCATTATAGTGGATGCTAGCACATGTGAGTTAAACAATTACCACAGATTTGGCTGTTGGCATTAGAGAATGCACACAGAGAGGGTTAATAGAGCTCTTTAGATTAACATGTCAATGTATTTTGATGTTTACAATGTGTCACACATCTGCTTAATGTCTTATGGTCCTAAAGTAAGAGATTTCTTTCAATTAACTTTTTGTCATTTTTTAATTCTGTTATGATAGTTCTTTGCTGAAATTTTGGAGCCCAGAACCCAAGAGCAAGAAGAAAAAATATTTCAGTTTGCACAGACCACCATTATTTCTCTCTGTTTTCACTCTGCGTGCCTCCTTATTTTGTTTGAATTTCACCTTTTCGTCCTTAGCTGTACTGCTCTTCCAGCTGAACTTCCTTTCTCTTAATTGGCAAATTTTTCAAATGTTCTCTTAGATAAAGTTTTATTTCTTTCATAAAATAAGCTCAAGATTCTACTTTAATTTTTTTTAATTAACGTGTGTGTGTGTGTGTGTGTGTGTGTGTGCGCGCGCGCGCGCGCGCGCGTGTGTGAATGTATGCCATACGTGAGTGCAAGCTGGTGGAGGCCAAAAGAGGATGTTGGATCCCTGGAACTGGAGTTAGCAGTTTCTGTGAGCTAGTTATTAGATGCAGGTGTGCAAACCAAGCTCAAATCCTCTCAAGGAGCAGCCAGCACACATAACTGCTGACCCATCTCTCCAGTTGCAGGATTCTACTTTCTACACCACTGTTGACGCACACTGCTGATGGCCTCACTGCCGTTCTTCTGGTATATTTACCACTGCTAGTTAACAGTCCACAGGCAGCTGTGACCAGCAGAACTTAGCATCTCCAGTACATATACTTCCAGGGCCATTTTCCTGTCACTCACAGAGTTTTCTTTACCATAGCCACTTCCCAAAGCACAGTAAATTGCAGAAGCTACGTCACCAGGAGTTTGAATACAAAGATGGCCAAATCATTAGCCTTGCTGCTCCTCGGCTGGTCCTGGGTATACAAGGCTCCAAACCCCGGTCAGGCACAGAGGTCGTTTTGGTGGAGAAGAAATCTGATGACAGTCACCAATGCTGGACACATAAAGAAGAAAGCAGGTAAACCTACTGAATTGTGTGGTTTATACATCAAACTGGATGGAATAATGGCTCAGCGGTTAAGAGCACTGGCTGTTCTTCCAGAGGACCTGGGTTCAATTCCCAGCCCCCACATGGTGGTATACAGCCATCTGTAACTCCACTCTCAGAGGATCTGATGCCTTCTTCTGGCCTCCACAGGCACTGCATGCACATGGTGCATGTACATGTACTCAAGTAAATACTCATACATATAATATACATGAAACTGTGAATGAGATCCTAAGAGTTCTGGCATGGTCTCCACACCACAAGCAGGAATCCAGTTGAGGGTCTTGGATTTTCCATTTTACTTGGCTGGAAATTCTTTGTTCTTGTCAAAGAAGAAACAGAATAGGAACTTTAGGTAAGCTACACACACCTTAACAGCAGTTAGATTCAGATAAGAGGTCATTTGTTACTTAGGTCTGCCTGGCCATTGCCTGAAGACTAGATACTCATCTAATTTATCTTTGTGACAGGAAGAAATCAAAACATGAATTCAAAAGTATTCCCAATTTTGAAATATTTTGGGACCTTTGTTTACTCAATCCCCATCTCTCCTCACATGGGTGTATTCCCAGTTTTTCTTTCATAAAAATAACAAGTGATTTCTAATCATACAGTAAGCATTGATTCCTACTTTATTAAATATATTAACCTAATTCAGGTCAGGCATGATGGAGCACACCTTTAGTCCCAGCAGTCAGGAAGCAGAGGCAGGCAGATCTCTGTGAGTTCCAGGCCAGTCTCATCTACAAAGTGAGTTCCAGGACTGCCAGGGCTGTTACACAGAGAAACCCTGTCTCAAAAAAACAAAAAAAAAGGAAAAAAGAAAGAAAGAAAGAAAGAAAGAAAGAAAGAAAGAAAGAAAGAAAGAAAGAAAGAAAGAAAAAAAGAAAGGAAGGAAGAAAGAAAGAAATCTATAACCTAATTCAGTGTTTGACCTTGGGTCCAGATTCAAAATGTTTTGAACATTTTCTTAAGAAGATCAGAAGAAATCTAAAACAATTTGGCTATTTGTTATATTAAAATATTATTAATCTTGTTGCATATAATAATTGGTCAGTGGTTGTGTTGAGATACACAAAGGGGGTCCTGGTCACTTAAGAATATATTATATTTAGAGATAAAAATACAAGATATTTCAGTCAGCTTTATTTGGGGCATTCTAGCAAGGGGCTAGAGAGATAGCTCATCAGTTGCTTGTTGCTCTTGCAGAAGACCAGAGCTCAGTTCTCAGCACCCACAGAGGAGTGAACCCCAAACTATCTGCATTTCTAACTCTGGAGGATCCAACATCCTCTTCTGGCCTCCATGGGCACTTGAACACATATGTACATGCATACAGCAGACACGTATTTATTGAGTAAACACAGAACTGAAAATAAATAAATCATAAATATTAGCAAAAATAAAAATATTGAAATTTTAGATAAATAGATGAAACAAGGTAGAATGTTGACAGTGTTTAGGTTCATGTTTCATTACACATTTCTCTTTGTTTTTGTTTATGTTTGAACATTAATTTAACAAGGAAACATAACTTCCTGGTTTTTGGACTGCTCTACCTAAAATTCTACCATTACATATAGTGCGGCTCTAGTGAACTCCTCATCTCTTGCATACTGTACAGGATGTATATTTGGGCACCTGTGCAAAATATTTCTTAATGGGAAGACGCTGTGACTTTCACTGTATTCCCTGAAGATCTGTACTGCCCATGGCTGAGAGCTCTGTGCTTTGAGGGAGATTGAATAAGCTTTAGGAGGCAGCATCAGCAATCCTGGCATGGCAGGAAAGGAGCTAGCTCTACTCTGTCATTTCCAGAATGAGTACAACAGACAGCAGGGCATAGTCATTGGTCGTGCGTTCGGGCAGCCGGAGAGTGACTTGCTGGACAGAGCTGCTAGGAGTGTTTCTTTCCTCCATCCACCAGGGCTTGGCTGTCTGTGCAATGAGGAGCTAGGAGAACAGGTTTTTCTTCCTGCAATGACTAATTACATGGACCATAATTCACTCATTCAGCCGATACTATTCATTAATGGAAAAATTCACCAAGGTGTTACAATTCTTCACATTTCCAAACTCAAATGCAAGGTACCCAATTTCATAAGAGAAATGTTATTACATCTAAAATTCATACTGACCATGGCACAGTGATGGTGAATGACTCCGGTTCCCCACTCTCACCAGTAGACCGGTCATTCAGTCAAAAACTAAATAAAGAAACTCTGGAGTTAAAGAATACCATAAATCAAGGACCTAACAGACATCTACAGAGCATTCCACCCAAACACTAAAGAATACAGTGTCTTCTCAGCAACCCATGGGACTTTCTTCAAAACTGACCACATATTAGAATACAAAGCAAGTCTAAACAAACTTAGGAAAACTGAATAGCACCCGCATCCCGACCACCATAGAGTAAAGCTAAAGGCTGCTGAAGGCATCGTTTTAGGGATGGAACTTTAGCAAAGACCTGAAGAGATCCAGATTCCTGTTCCTATGGAGCTAGCATCCTCGAGCTACCAAGATAGATACTATATTTAGTGAATCTTTCTGCCTTGTTCTTGTGGATTGTGATAAAGTCCCCATGATTGCTTTTTTAAATTGAAAATAGATTTTTTTCATATGATATACTCTCATTATGGTTTGCCCTCCCCCAACTAACTCCTCCCAGACACCCCACCTACCCAAATCCACACCCTTTCTTTCTCTTTACAATACAAACAAGATAAAAACAAACCAGAATACAACAAACAAACTACCCAGAGGAAAGGGGGCAAAGTAAACGCACAAGAAACAAATATAGACACAGAGACACACATGTTCACACATACAGAAATCCCTAGAAAACATAATATTCATACTTGGATCTGCATGCAGGCATGGCTAAGGAATGCAGCGGAATATACATAAGGGAATGACTATGTGACTCTGACTTGAGCAAGCTTGGAAGTGCATCCACGGTCATTGGGAGAGAGCTGTGGTTCTGAGTCCTCTTTAGCACTGTCATTGATTCTTCTGGGTGCTGAAGAGAAAGGAGCAGAGAGTGTGGTTAAAGAAAAGCAGCAAGGGAAATTTACCTAAACTCTGTTAGCTTATGGGCTGTGAGCAGCACTGCTTTTGAAAACTCTAGCCATGGGTTACACCAAAGTCTTCTTCAGTCTTCTGGAACTCCACAACGTGGCCATCTTGAGACCATCCCGTGTCAAGCCATAGGACAACGAGAGGTAGTTGGTGGGAATAGTTGGCTGTTACAATGCTTTTGTCTTTTCCCATTTTGACAGTACTATTGATTGGTGTTTGCCAATAGCAGAGAAGTAGTTCTTTTCCAATGGAAGCCTGTGCTTATGAAGCCCCTATATACCAATATATATGTATATAGATAGATAGAAAGATAGATAGAAAGATAGATAGATAGATAGATAGATAGATAGATAGATAGATAGATAGATAGATAGATAGATAGATAGATAGAGATATTCATAAACCTGTGCTTAGGCAGCCCCTTTATACCGAAATTCCACATGAAACCCTTATATACCAAACAGCAAGGTAGGAACAATGTACCCCAATGTTATCAAGATAAGCATAACTTTAAATCATTGTTTCAAATGTATCTATTCTAGGTAGTAAAATGTAGAACAGTGAGGTAGGTGATCTTGACATCTCAATGGGTCACTGCAGAAAATCAACAATCATACATTCATTTGAATGTTGTTAAAAAGCACTGGCTGTTCTTCTGGAGGATGCTGGTTCTGTCCCAGCACACACACAGTGGTTTACAATCATTTATAATTCCAGTTTCAGGGGATACTCTTCTGACCTCCATCAGAGCCAGGCATACAAATAGTGCACATATATACATGCAGTCAAAGCACACATAAAAGTAAATAGATTAATCTTTTTAAAAAAATCAACATAGGTGCTAGAAAGATGTCTAAGCAGTTAAGAACACTTTCACTTTTCCAGAAGACTGGAGTTTGGTTCCTAGCACCCACATCTGATGGCTTACAACTCTAGCTCCAGGGTGGTTGAATCCCTCTTCCAGCCTCCAAGGCTTGCACAAACACAGAAACATGCACATGCACAGGCACCCAAAATAAGATCTTTATAATTTTCAACATATATCTCGAGCTTTGGGGAAATCTCCTTTGGAAACACAAGAATTTAATGGAAAATATATACTAAGATTTATTTTATTCATTATGTGTCTCTCTGTGAGTAGGTATGTGCACACAGGTGCAGGTACCTGTGGAGGTCAGACAAGGTGCTCGGAGCTCCTGGGACTGGAGTTGCAGGTGGTTGTGGGTCAGTGTGGGCGCTGGAAACAGAACTTGAGTAAGAGAAGTAAGTGCTCTTGACTGCTGAACCATCAATCCAGCCCCAGTAAAATACTTTTAAAAGCCACAGCAATGCATAATTATTACTAATGATATCCCTTATAATACTTACTTTTATATGTATTAACTCGTTCAACTTCCACAGGATGCACATTATTCCAATATACAGATGGGTAAATTGAAACACTGAGTTGCTAATGCTATGCAATACTAAGAGATGGACTCAGTATTCCATCCCATGCTGCATAACTGTAAAATCTATTTCATCATTCACTGCTTATCAATAACAGTAACATGGACAATAAAGATGTATCAATGTGGGTATAATACAGAGACAGAAACCACACCATGATTTAAATAGGGGAAATCGATTATGAGGAATAATTAAACTATGATAAAACACAAACTATTATTTATATTCTGTATAAATTATTATAATGGATATTTGATAATATCCATATCAGACTATCATAACTTATTTGTTCTGATAAACTGGTGAAACCTAAAGAAACTTGGGTTTCTTCATAGCAGAAACGTATAGAAATTCCATTTAACATAACCACAGTATGTTACATAGTGGGACTAATTCTGTCTTCTTAAGGACCTTTCACCTGGTGAGTAACCCCAACCTAGTGCTGGCAGTGTCTATGACGAAGACTCAAAATGAAGCCCATGGCTATCCAGTTATCATTCAGGTAAGTTATGCACAGGCCAACAAGAAGCCATGCCCTTTCATGAAGCTGCAGGGAGGCCCTGGGCCTCTTTGTTACAGAGCAAAGGAATAGATGTCATAGAACGTTATTTTGAATGTCACTGTTAAAATATTTTTTGTAATACTCTGCCTAGACTTCAAAATGAGCACACAGAGATATCTCAATTTGGTTCATTCTGACCAATGGTGATTGTAGGCTTGCTGGTAGTCAAGAATGGGGGCAGTTACTACAGCCGTACACAGGCAAGCATGAGAAACTGTCCCAACAGAGTTCATGGAGCTTGCAACTTCAGGGGGTGATGGCTCTTTGGTGCACCTAGACTTATTGATGAGGAGCACAGGCAAGGCCCCCTGGATACCAGAGGAAGAGACCTTGTCAGTCTTTTGGGAGGTCATGACCCCCCCCCACTAGAATTACTAGTGGTAAGAAACTCACTTGTGGTACCTGTAATGCAGGCTTCATTTGAGTTTGGGGCAAAGACCCAGGAAGCTCTTTTCTGTCGTCTTCCTTCTAACCAAACACTTATAAATGGATGTGTGATTTTCCTTGATAGACCAAGAGACAGCTTAGGAACTCCCAGCTCTGCATCCACCGTCTGTAAGCTCCACCCTAGTTTCCATGGAACAGAATAATTATCTCCAAATAACATTTGTTTTATTCCATGTTTTTAGTGAAGAAACTTGTTTTGCAGTTTGGAGTCCCAAATCAGGACACGGCAATCTGGGCAGATTCTGAAGCTTGCTTAATTAAGTCCTTTGTCCTCATGATAAATAAGAACTCGACATTTATACTGAAGAAACACACATAACATTTCAAGTTTCCTATAAGGTGCCTCTTCAACACAGGCCACAGTGAGGGCAAACCTCACGTGGCTGGACGTTCGGTTCCTTAATCGTTTTCATAACATTTGCAGATATTATTGTCACCCCCAATGTGTCTTACTTTATAAGGAATAAGCTTAATCATAAGGCAATTTGGATTAACTTTCAAGATATCTTTTCATTACTAGTGCTTCTATTTTTATGTATTAAATAATAAGTTTGTGAGAAAACATTCATGTATTTGTAAGTGGAAAGGAGCCACTCTGGGTTAATGCTTCTAGACCCTTTCTTGTTGCTTGAGAATTTAGCCTTTGGTTCTCTAGATCTTGGAGGGAGCTCGTTGTCTTAGTGCTAAGAACTTCTTTGCTGTTGTCTCTTACAAGGTACAGTAGTTATTATAAATTATAAAATTCCTCGTGGCATCATGATATGCTTTCCCAGAACTAACCTGTCAGCTTATGTCTTTTTACTTACACTTGAGATAACTCAACAATGCTATAATTACATAACAAAATCACATTCTATAACAATATAAATGATAGAATTAAAATACTTGTATCCTGTTTCTGTGGTGTATTTAGCTGAATTTAAAAAAACCCACTTCCTTGAATATCAGTCAAATAAACATTGAAATGTCAACAAATTGGGAAAGGAGACGGTCAAATAATCATTCTAAAAAATGCTTTCTTGATCAATATCATAATCTTTTAAATGACCTTAATCAATGATCCTTCTAGAAGTTTTTCCTAAAACATTTTCATAAATTCACACACACACACACACACACACACACACACACACACACACACACACACACACACTTGTGCATATATTCTGTTGTCTTCTTATTTATTAGAGGGAATGTTTTAAAAAAAAAGTCCCGCAGGTTCAACTATTTAGGAATTTCCCAAGCATAATTTTTCTAAGAAGAAATGACTAACATCCTTTTAAAACGTCAGAAAAAAATCACAAAATAGTGTAATTACAAAATTTTAATTTTTACTGGTTTTGTGAATCAAATACGTTTAATGTTATTAAATTATGTATGCAATCCCTAAATATCGATAGTAATCATCATTTACAGTAATTTAGGAGTAATTGTCTGTATTTCTAAATTTATACAATAAAAAAAATGCCTGCTATGCCATCTTAGAAACTCACCTGTCTACTGGAGTCCGCATTTTGTCTCTCTCCTTTCTTAGAAATACAAGCCACACAGCAACGGGGCCGCTAATCAAAAGTGGCTCTACATGGAAAGTCAGAGAGCATTCAGAGCCCTTTACAGCACCGCCCTGGATAAGGAAATCACAGCGGCGAATTCCTCTGGCCTTTGCACGTCATCTGTCACTAAAGAAAACATCGATCAACCTGTAAGTAGTTCCTTCTTCCCAAAGATGAAAGAAAAATAGGGTCATTTAATAAAGGAAGACGTTTTCCCCATTGGGAAAACTTAAATTCATACAGGATAAACACTAATGTGTTTGTTTCAGACAAGGTCTTGCTACAAAGGCCAAGCTGGCTTCTGACTTGCAATCCTCCTGTCTCAGCCTCCAAGGGTGGGAACACAGGTGTGCACCACAATGTCTGGCATAAATACTAATTTTTGATGAAATCACTTATACTCTAGGATTCTAAATAGGAAAGAATGAAAGGAAATTATGAAAAGTAAAATAAGTTATGTACTCTATCTAAAACTACTTGTTCTATTGTGGAAATTTTCATACATATTCTAAAGCAGCCACTGGTGCAGTGAATCTTGATTTACCCATCATGTATAATCAGTAGTCATTAAGATTTGGTGACTTTTGCTAATCCCAGATATGATATGATTTTACCTCTAAATTAAGCATACAATTTTATAATTCTGAACATTTTTGACATAAAATATCGTGCCATTGTCATGATTAATTAAATGAACAATGTTGTTTGGGCAATAGTAAACTAATTTTTAATCAAACTTTCTGGATTGTTCTAAAAATTCCTTTTTATTGTTTGTCAGCTTAAGTCAAGACTCAAAGAAGGCACTCAGGTGGGATCATGTTCGCAGCCTGGTCCACAGTCAGGCAGCATGCTCTGCATTTGGGTTTGCTTTCTTGTATCATCATCTGACTTGCTTCTCTTTCTCCATGATTCCTGTAAATAGGATGCACACTAGAATCATCATTAGACCTATGCTCACCATTTTCTGCAGCACCTTCATGGGTTTCCATGTGTGTTTCATATACGTAGGTCTCTGAAGCCTACATATCGGTTTCCTGTTTTTAATGATGCATTTAGTAGTTTGAAGTAATTTCTTCTTGTCCCCATATTTGGAAATTCCTCAATGTCTATTCATCTAATGTCATCATTGTGCCTCATATCAGTCAATTTTATCTGATTATACTTTTTTCTCCACATCAATTAGCTAAAGATTTAATAAGACTTTATTACCTCACTAAATAGATGTTTCACTAGCCAAAAATACAGTTTGAAAGGAAAGGCAGAGTAAATACCTGATTCTTTCTTGCGTGTCCACTTGTCTGTTATAACAGCACGTCAACTGGAGAAAAAAAATTCCCTGTGAGGTGACAATTCAGGCTGAGCTCTGCTGGGCAGCTTTGCTGGTCTTGACAAGGGCTTCTAAAGTAGCTATAGTCATCTTGTAGTTGTTTTAGTAGTATGAGGACTAGATAGTGCAAGATGCAGTCTCTCACATGCGTAGTGGTTGCAGGCATTGACTCTCCAACTGCTCCACCTCTCAAGAAGCTTGGTTCATGTGAGTTCAGTGTGACCCTCAGGGCTCCAACTGCAGCTGTAGAGCCCAGGCCCTGCTGCACACGCTCCTCTCATGCACCTGCTTGCCTCTTACTCTGTTGTCATTGGGCCAATGTCAAGGATAGCTTTTTACAGCACTGCTCTGGATAAGGAAATCACAGCAGCAAATTCCTCTGGCCTTTGCACGTCATCTGTCACTGAAGAAAACATCGATCAACCTGTAAGTAGTTCAGAGAGGAGATAAGGAGAAAAACACTGTACCTCCTGACCAGAGGGGCAGTAATGGCACACAAACAAGATTGGAATGGTTTTATTATAGCCATCTTTAGAAATAATTTACTATACTAACAGCAACAATGGTTAGTTTTCAAGTCAATACCTACCAACCATAATTAATTTCGGATGATGTCAAATGAGGTACCACCCCCATTTCATTCTTTACTTGTATTGATAGCCTTGGTATGAACTCCTGGGAGTACTCAAACCCAGTCCAACAGTTTGCATTATCATTCTTTCTGGTCTCAAATTGCCCTTCTTTGAGCCAGCTGGGACACTTCATTTTGGCTCCTGCATCCTTTCAATATTAGTCCTTAACTCCAGGGTCGATTAGATTCTATGCACAGCAAGATGTCCCTTCTACACAAGATGTTATATGGTAGTTTTCCTGTCACTGAGGAGGCACCAGTCATTCTTCAAAGAAATCTTGATTCTGTATAGAAGTTAGGGTTCCCAGATTGAATAGTCATTACAGAGTGAAGGAAGACTTAAATTTTTTAACTACTGGGACTGGTGGGATAGCTCAGCAGATAAGGCACTTGCTGTTAAGCCTGAAGACCTGAGTTCAATCCCTGCAACCCACATGATGGAAGGAGAGAACCAACTCCTGCACGGTGTCCTCTGACTTCCACCCATGTGTGCCCTGCCCCCAGCATACACACACCAAATAAGTAAATAAATGTAAAAAATTAATTATTAGGAAACATAATAATGCATTTGGGTTGTGACTTTAAATTTACATTTGATGATGACAAATGTGCTTTCCTCATGCTATGAAGAGTTCTGTAAAAATGCTGTTATGGTTTAGAAGCACCCATGTGGAAGCATCTTTCCCCCTGTTTTAGGGTTACTATTACCTCTCACCTGATGGAAAGAAAAAGATGATGCTTTGCCTGGCTTGCGGACAGTGCATGAGGGCAGAGAAGGGACTGAAACAGCTGCTTCCCAGTGCTCTGTTCTTCTGTGTCTCGGGCTCCGAGCAGACGTCCTTGCCACGAAGGCCTTTCAAGGTCATCAGCATTGCCAAGGTACTTACCCGGCTGAGCGCCGCTACCACCCATGTGGCAACGACTTGGAAACTTGGATGCGTTTAGATTGGCCTTACATTCAGGTTCATCTCTACTCATCCCCATCATCTTCCTCAGATGCACCTTCCTGTCCTGCCAGTGTTGATTTCTTTTTCCTCGTTGGAATTTAACAGCTGTCTTTTAACAGCTCTGTCCAGCCTTGGAAGTTAATTGGGCACTTGCTACAATCTTCCTGTCTCTTTGTGTAGCTTTTAGGTCAGAAAGTAACCACGAATCTTTACTTGGCACAGCAGCATTCGCCCTACATCAACGGGGAAAGCTCCTTTCGTATGTGTATGGTGCATTTCGGGGATGATTTGACATGTTGCTGCTAGTAACAGTTCAGGCTAGGTGACTGAATTCATGCATCCATGCCTAATACCATCTAGAACCCCTAGGGGTGGTGAGGGGGACTAACTGCCACCTTCTGTGACCTTAATTTAAAATGAATTTAAATTAATTTAATTTAAAAAGAAGATACTCCTTCCCTTCTAGTTGAGCAGTGTAAAGAACTTGACGGTGGTGGTGGTGGTGGGGTGTTAAACAGCAGAATAAAAAAGAAGTAATCCTAAAATACAGCGACCAGCCAGCCTAGTGTGCCCCTCTGGGGTCACCAGCCTGTCTCCAGACCTCGCTCCTCTGTTTCCCAATCCTGATTTATGCTAGAGGTGGGCAGTGACAGGTTGCAGTGAACTTTGGGGTCACCTGCCTGTCTCCAGACCTCGCTCCTCTGTCTCCCAATCCTGACTTATGTTAGAGGTGGGCAGTGACAAGTTGCAGTGAACTCAACCCAAGGGGTAACTTGGAAGGACAAGGAGAGCAGTGCTCTGGGAAGCCTGACAGGGTCTGGTTTTGCAGAGGTAACTGGGAAGGACTCCTCTCTGTTAGAGTAGTTTATTCAGAGCCTGTCCCCCTGGGCAGGCTCCTAGGTCAGGACATTGGGGAAAGCTTTCCAAGGGATGCTCTGCACCTTTTTGCCCTCCTCACTCATCTTCCACCAAATGGATGGCCTCCTTCTAGAGCTGCTCATTAAGAAAGTATCTGTAGCGTTCATATCCCCTTACTTCAATCCCAGGTTCTCTTTGGTCCTGACATCCTTTCTTCTCCATCCTTTCTTATGACCCACCCCAAACCCAAACAAACATACAGCAACATTTAAGGAAAACCAGAGCAAACCAGAAAGACAGAGCAACTGCTAAAAAGTCAGTGAGAGCACTCGAAAGAGAACTGAGGAATTCTGAGTCAACCCTCTTCCTCCTCCACACAAGTATCTATAGGACATGAAGAAGACACTGTAAAGTGTAGGTCCACCCACATACACACACTAGCAGACTTTAAATGGGGAGTAGAGATATGCCAAGATAATAGAGCAGAAATAACACAATTTGTGTAAACATTCATTTTTTTTAAACAAACCAGGCTGATTTGTCTTCTTATGAAGCTGAAAACACTCTAAGATATTATGAAGAGCGTCTGTCCTCTTTGTGGATGAAGACACGCTCAGGCGCTGCATCTCACAGTGGTGTGGTAGCTTCATATCAACGGGCAGTGAAAATCGTTGCATACAAAAATGGGGAAGGATATCGGAATGGGAAGTTAATTGTGGCTGGAACGTTCCATGGGGTAAGTGGTTATGGCTAAAATGCTGTGTGTGTCCTTAGAGGTAATGGTGGTGGTGATTCCCAACAAGAAGTACCCCAAAACTGAGCAACCAGCAGCCCTGTCTACATCCACCATAAGCTGATGAGATCAAGATCTCTATTTTCCTAGAGGCATTCTTTCTGATTGTTTTCCTCTGAATATAAGGGTAGAAACAGCGAGAAACCAATGCCTTGGTTTTCAAGGGGCCCAGAGCAAAGACAGAAAGGCAGAGGGAGAACGGAGCGACCAGGCTGTCTTCACCTCATGATGGACAGCGTGTCTTTTTCCTCGTTGTTTTCCATGCACTGCAAGTTGCATACCACCTGAATGTTTTTGTTTGTTTGTTTGTTTGTTTGTTTTGTTTTGTAATGCCCCTTCATTTGGCATTCAGAGCATCTGAACACATCTTTGTTGACAAGGTCTTTCACTTCACTTTTAAATTAAGGGGGGCTTAAGTTATTAGAGACTATGTGATTGCCTTGGAGGCTGTGTAGTCATGACAGGAGAGCCCCCAAAGTGATACTCCTGTCTCAATAACCTGCCCAATACTTTTAATAACCTGTTTTATAGGTAAGATTAAATACAGTGTGGGGTATGCCAACTCCTCCCACCCCTTCCTGTTCACACACCTCTGGGGTTGGAAACAACTGGTTTTTCTTATTAAGATATTGTTGTTCCGGTCTGGAGAGGTGACTCAACCTTTCTGAGTATCTCCTACTCTTGCAGAGGACATCGTTTGGCCCCCACACCCATATCTGGTAGCTCACAGCAGTCTGTATGAAACTCCAGTTCCCCAGAATCTGACAGCCTCTTCTGGCCTCCCGGGGCATTGGCACTCATGTGCACACAGAGATGGACAATCATAAACACAACTAAAAACAAAAATAAATCTGTTCAAAAATGAAAGTGTTGCTCAACAGACAAAGCAAACTACAGAAGTTAACCCAAGGTTTACCCACCGCTACAGGCTGGCCTCCTCTCTCTCTCTCTCTCTCTCTCTCTCTCTCTCTCTCTCTCTCTCTCTCTCTCTCTCTGTTGTCTGCTTTGGGTTTTTTGTCTGATTTGGTTTTTACATTTTTATTTGGTGGTGAGGTGGGCAGGAGAGGGTTGTGTGTGCACTCACATGCATGCATGTACCACACTTGTGCTGCCATGCACTTGGGGAAGTTAAAGGGCTATCTGAGGGAGGTGGTTCCCTCCTCCCACTACATGGGTCGCAGAGCTTGAACCGGGCCATCAGGTGAGCAAGCTCTCAAAGCCTCTGGGCCATCTTGTTGACTCGCAAGGCCAGCTTTTAGATTTGTTTTCCCATGTGCAAAATGGAGGTGATAATGTGTGACAGATTGGGTTAGAAAATTAACTATTCGTTTATTTGAAACTGTTTACCAATTTGCAGTATGAAAACTTTATATCTTAGAGTATAACAAAAAGGAGGGCGATTTCTAAGTTACACACTTTAAGTAAGACTGTCTCATGGGAAAACATATCAGCATATGTAAGCTGCTGGACTTCAGCTCTAGAGTCAGGTTTGACTCATATTAAATCAGAGAAAACAGAAAAAAAAATGCCTGTAATCAAAAATCTACATCAACAGTTATTCAGTGTCTGTTTTCTAAAAATAAAGGACTTTTTTTCAGAGTTCTACAATGGCAGACAACTTGTTATAATTTCAATTGTCATTATTATTTCCTGTTAATGGTTTTTAAAAATTATTTATTTTTATTTTTATGTGCTCTGCCTGCATGTAAGTGCACTTCATGCATACCTGGTACCCTCAGATGTCACAAGAGGGCACTGGATCTCCTGGAACTGGAGTTATCTGCAGGTGTGAGCCATCATGTGGGTGCTAGGAAAAGAACCTGGGTTCTTTCAAAAGCAGCAAGTACTTGTAACTGCCGAGCCACCTCTCAAGCGCCTCCCATTGGTTTTTTGTAACTTGTGTGATGTAGCTTCTTGCAGAATGCACACAACGACTTGGACTCACTAGAGCAGCCTCCAAAGTCTACACCAGAGATGGAAGCAGCATCTTCACCTTGCGTGGCTTGGTTCTGTGGGCTATAGGTGAAGCCCTTATCCAGCGAGACCCCAAGGAGCAAGAGAGAAGCACAGACTCTGTTGGGACAGAAGAGATAGCTGTTCAAGATACAGAAGGTTAGTTAACTTCTACAGACATCAGTTGGTTCTATATTATCAAAACATTAAATATAGTTCATCCAGTCACCACAGCAAGAACTTCAAAATTATAGCCAGTGACTTTTGTAAGTGGTTCAGAGAGTATCAATGAGATTCTCATAGTGTCCTTAACTTTCTTAGTAGGTAAATAAATAAATAAATAAATAAATAAATAAATAAATAAATAATATATATTCCAGTTTTAGAACTGAAACAATAAACCAGTTCATAAAATTAACAACAGTAGGCAACTTAACTACTTTGTAAAGTACTGACATGTTTTGTTCTAAAATTCAAAACCCAAATCCCCTGGGACTGAAGAAATGGTTGCTAGACCAGTGCCAGGCTCTCCCTGCTGTTGAAGGGACGATCTCTCTCTCTGCACCTTTCCTGGCTCTGTTTACCCTCCCTGGCCTCGCTGTTCCCACTGCTTCTGTGAAACACTAGACACTCTGGTGGATGCCCATTTCTTGGCGATTGTGACACAGCAGTGTGAGCCTTTTCCACTCCTGTCCTGAATACCATGGTTTAGAGGTGTGAGACTTTGGTGTGGGAGTCAGAACATCAGGTTTCAAATCCCAGACTTGCCAACTACAGCTGAATGACTGGCCAAGTTCTTGACCCCATCTCTACCTCGGTTCTCTCATTTGTGACTAGACATGCCAATAATCACTTTCCTTACAGACTTATAGTGTTGATAAAACAAAAATCAAGACGAAAACCTCAGAAAAACTTAGCTTGAAGGGAATAGAGACAGTTTATTCTGGAGCCATTTTGAGTAACCATAGCTAGGGGACACAGATTTATGTTACCCCAAATGCCATGTTCCACCATGGAAGCAGTTTTATAGTTTCACAGAACAAGGAAAGTCGTAAGTCAAGGTAAGTTTAAAATACATTGATGGGTACACCAGAGAGGCAGGTACAGTGAAATGGAGGAAAGTTTTTTACAAGCCCAAGATGCTTTCTGATGGCATTCTTCGCTTTTGAATTGGTGGAAGCTAGTGGTCTGGTCTGGCCCAAGATAAGATAGTTACCCTCTGGACCTGCAACTTCCCAATCTCTCCACAGTACTGAAATTCTAATTAGTCAGTCCATCTCTGTAGACCTGGTTTCTATTCGGGAACTTCTGTTCACAATAGAATGTATCTGCTTGTGATTTTTGTTGTCTTCCTTCTTGTTCTACTATAGTAGAACACTACAGTGTGAGAAACATTTTGTTCTATCAAAGATGGCTGACCTACCAATAGTCCAAAAATCTCTCCCATTTTGTGAAACCTTAGTATGTTCCTGTTTGCCCACTTCTGGATGTTAGACATTTCTGAGACTTGACCACACTCTTTCTTTTTGCACAGCAATGAAGTGACCAGTTGGTGAGGTCTAGCTTCCACCAATAGGGAAAGACACAGTCACCACCTGAGCCAGAATAACAACTAAGTGAACTTCCAGCCCCAATGTAATTGCTCATTCAGTTTGGGTTATCTTGAACCCTTCGCTGAAGCAAATTACCTACATATTTGTCTGTGTTGTTTCTTTGTGCAATGCAATGCTGGAAACATTCTTTTCCGATAGACAAGGCAATTCTCAAACCAAAATATGCTTTTCACAGAAACTGGGAAGTTCACATCTAGGCACTAGCAGGGTTTGGTTCATTGGTAAGATCAAAATCTGAGTCTTCCATGGGGAAGAAGTGCTGGGTTGTCACATGACAGAAAGCTGATAGACAGGAAAGCCAAAAAGCAATGTGACGTCTCCTTTAGAAGGGCCTTAGTTCCAGTCACAAGAAGAGGAGCTCTCACGACCTAATGGTCTTTTTAAAAACCCTATCTCAGGGCTGGGGAGATGGCTCAGTGGGTAAAATGCCTGCCGTGCAAGCATGAGAACCTGAGTTCAGATCCCCAGCACCCGTGTAAAACAGCTCAGCATAGTGGTACACATCTGTAACCCTAGAGCTGGGAGGTGTGGACAGGTAGATTCTGGGGCCTTTCTGGCCAGCCAGCCTAATGAAAGAGTAATCACCAAGTTCAGTGAGAGACTCTGTTTCAAAATTAAGATGGAAAATGATAGAGAATGACATTCCCAAACCAATCGCAGACAGCCACATGTACCTACATAGATAATCATGCTTAAACACATGCATATACCATATAAATGAATAAATAAGTCAATGAAAGAATCCTACCTCTTAGTAACATCATGTTGACCATAAATTTTCTCTACTTGAATTTATGAATGGACACATTCAAAACATAAATGTATAAATACGCAATATATGCATGTGTATATACATATTTACTTGAATACATATTTCATATTCCTTCCACATAATTTGTATTTGGTCTTTATGAATATAAACATATATTAGACTAGTGCTTGGCTGGTATCTATCAAACATTCATGACTTTTATTTATTATAACTGTGTACATTATATTATTTGATTTTCCCATGAGTTTTAAGAAGCAATGATTTGAACATTTAGTGTCTGGATGATTTTCAAAGTGCATGGCTCTGCCTCTACTTGATGTTTAAAAGGATATTCACCTCAAATTCATTTCTTTCCAATTCTTTTTAAAAATCTTTTTGGAAGGACAGAGTAAATGCACTCATCAAAACTATCAGAAGGATGTCTTTTCGATGGCATCCCTGCTTCTCCCATATTCTAAAACATATCCCGAGGCAAGGCAGGACCATTCGTGGTCTGCTCCTGTATGGAGCTGAGTTTTGGTATTATGCCATTAATTTCCACAGAAGAACTTTAAAGAAATCACTGTCAAAATTCAGCCTAGTGCTTACTGGTCAGGAAGCAGACAGAACATATCTGCTAAAATCCCTCAGCTCTGCTGCAGCCCAGGGATGGCACCAAACTCCACGTATGTCAGTTCCTTTTTAAAGGTTTGTTTCATTTTAAAGTATTTGGGAGGATATTCAACTCTTTGTCTATGACGTTTCTGACTAAATGTATGTGTTGGCTCCAATTTTGATAATAATTATGAAAGTCATCAATGAAGAAGAAAATACTTTGGTTGAACAAATGAATCCATAAAGAATATTCATTCATTATTAACTGACAAGAGCAAATGTGTCGCTTGTTTCCCAGAAAACGCAAGAATAAAAATGGAAAACAGATTGGACTGTTTGGAGGACATAGATAAATCTTTGCTTGCTCAGATCCTCAAAAGTCCTATTGCCATTTGGGTGTCTTGTGGTGAGCCATTTCTGCCTCTAAATGGTAAGGTTTTTGTTTCTGCTTCCTTCTAGACCGTATGTAAAGAGAGGGAGAAGTAAGTTTTATGCCATGAGAAAATGAATTAAGTGTGTATAATGTCAACATAATAATATTGTATTTATGCAGAGAGCCAATCAGTCAATTAATATACTTGCAAAGATAGCTGTATGCACATATTTGCACAATGGCTTGTTTTTCTCTTACTGGAATGGATTTTTCTGCACAGAGAAGTGTCTAATTTAGTTGATAAAGAGATGCTTGGTCTATAAGGTGGAGAATAATGGTATCCATTAGAAAATAACAAATGAGTTTAATTCACACTGAGGACGACCTGTCTGCACATTTTCATTTTTAAGAATTGCACCCTTTAGGCAGTAGGTAGATGTTTAAAAAAATGAATGGTCCCAAGCCAGGCTTTCATCACCTCCAAACAGTTGGTGGAAGCAGAAAATGAAATATGGCTATTGCATATGGTAAATCTATACAATAAAGCAGTTTTGATCTCCTTCCTGGCCCACCTCCATTGCATACAAAAATGCCCTAAGCCTTCTCATCTTTCAAACGAAGTTTCTTTTAATAGCCCTTACCTCTGTTAATTACATCTTTCTAATTCAATCTGTCTCTTGAAGCAGAAAGTTCTTTGTAAGTTATTGGTACCTATGATAAATTACTCTTGATAACAGAGCACTATGCAAAACATTTTTTTCTTTATTGTAGCTGCTGCACAGAAATCAGAAAAATTAAAGAAACAAAACTGGCTAAAGAGGGACCAAATTTTGGCTGATTTAGACACCATGAGACACAAGATGCGACAGTTGAAAGGTCAGTGTGGATGAAGCTAGTCATTGTGTTTAATTCCAAATGGAGCAACAGTTACCAATAATTATTTTCTACTGCTTGATACCAAATAGATAGCCAGTACATGCTACATAAACATTATGCTATGTAAATTAGAACAAGGTGTAAAATGTCATAGCATAGCCATTTAGTACTGATTTTATATCTGTAAATTTTATATTAAAAGGAATACCCCACGAGTTGCATATACACTGAAAAAAATAAGGGTTGTCTGTCCTTGCTTTTGAAATGCTCCCTTAACTGCCACTGTAGAAACTTTAGAAATAAATAAAACAAGACCTGCACATTTAAGCAAAATCTTGCTGTTATTTCTTGGTATTTTACTGCTGGGGAATAAAGTTTATTTATGGGACATTTTTCATTTTAGTAATTAGAACAGAGCAGTACTGAAATCTTCAAGGTCATGATCAGTAAGCCAAGGACTTCTCTTAACACAGCATGGGATACTCTTTTCATAGTCAAAGCTCACAGCGGGCATTGTGTGTTCTCTTCCACCATTCTCCTCACAGAACCTTAGGTTCCTGACTTTATACTATTCCAAGCACTTGAGCTGCAGGCGATTGTTCAGAGAGAATCAATGTCCTGTAGACTTGAGTCTAGGGAGGAATGCATTTCAATCTTTGTAATCACAGAATTTCATCTCCTGATTACAAACATTGGCTTGTGTCTGAAGCCTATGAATCTTGCTTCAACAATAGCACAAATAGTTCTCAATGTAAACAGCAACTCTGGCTTTGGGACAGTCAATATCCATTCCTTTCCTAAGGAAGATTCCAGCTATGAGCAAAAGCATTGATGACTACTCCAAATGTCTGCTATCCCTACTAGTAGACATTGTCACCTGAGTCTACCAGGGACAAGTCCAAACTCAAGCTGTTCTGTCACCCAAATGCCAAAGCCTCTTTGTCTCCTGTACCTGTAGTTCTACCACCATCCACCCAGGCATTCTCTCTCCAACAGGAACCTCCAAGTCATTCTTGTTACCACCCCCTCTCTTTCCTTCCCCAAGTGACACTTTAGAAAGTCTTGTCCCCTGAGTTACATTGAGCACTAATGGATTCCAGCCCCCTTAAGTCTCTGTGCTGGTTACTTTCTGTCAACTTGACAAAAAGCAGAGTCACCCCGGAAGAAGGAATCTAACTGAGGGATTGTCTCCATCAGACGGGCCTATAGCTATGTCTGCGGGCCACTTTCTTGACTAGTGACTGGTGTCTGAGGGCCTGGCCCACTGTGGGCTGTGCCACCCCTGAGTAGGTGTTCCTGCCTTGTTTTCCCTCTAGGAGACTATAACCTGCAAGTCATATAAACCCTCTCCTCCCCAGCTTGCTTCTGGTCAGTGTTTTATCACAGCTTCAGAGGAGCTAACTAGAAGAGTCTCCACTGTCTTTATCTGAATTCAAGCACAGCATCTTCTGATTGGGTTAATAGAACAGTTCCTAACTAACAGGTCTCCCTGCTTCAAGTCTTGACAGCATCCATTTGATGGTTACCATCTTGGTTCATGTTTTTGTTTTCCAAAAACTGGGTCTTTTTTCCCACTCACAGTTGGGGAACTAATAAGAATACTGAGCATCAATTCATCAGTGAAGAAGATTTTCATGTTTGGCCAAGAACCTAAGAAATGGGAGATAAATCTCAAATAAATTCTTTTTTTATTTAAGAATTTTTTATTCATTTTACATTTCAATCACAGATCCTCCTCTCATCCCTCCTCATGCTCCCCCAGTCCTTCCCCCCCAAAACCACCCCCAATCCCCTCCTCTGAAAGGGTAAGGCCTCCCATGGGGAGTCAGCAAAGGCTGATACACTCAGTTGAGGCAGAACCAAGCCCCTCCCCCTACATCAAGGGTGAGCAAGGCTTCTGACTATAGGTATTGGGCTCCAGAAAGCCAGCTCATGCACCAAGGATAGATCCTGATCCCACAGCCAGGGGCCCCTCAAACAGACAAAGTGACACCACCCTAGTCTGGTCCAACGCAGGCTCCACAGCTGTTGGTCTGTAGTTCGTGACTTCCCACGAGCTTGGTTCAGTTGTCTCTGTAGATTTCCCCATCATGATCTTGACCACCACCCCCGCCCCCCGCCTTGCTCATAGAATCCTTCTTCCACCCTTGAATTTGGGAAGTGACTGATAAAGTAAAATAAATGGAGGATGTATGAGGGAGGGGGAACAGCTGCTAATTGGAACTGTTCCTGTCTCATCTGAGAATGAGCAAAGATTTTCCTGAAGTTCAGACATCACTTCTTTCCTCTTCTATGAGTCTGTCAGGTTGTCACTATAGCAACTATCAACTGTACTGGCACAAGAAGAGTGTCTTTTAGCATGCAGATGGGATTACAATAAAGTCAGAGATTGACTGGAGGGGCCACTCTGGCAGCCATCAATTTCAATAAGCCCCGATTAAAAAAAAATTGCAGCCTACAGCTATACATACCATCCTCAAAGATAACCAAGATTACGGTGGGTCAACAGTCCGACCGCCAACTCAGTACTCAGGCAATATGAGCAAGGGTGAGACTCTAGAGTTGAAACAGTCCTGTAAAAATGCAAAGCTTAAGGTAGCCCGGATATAAGAGCTGCCGAGGGTCCTTAGCACCCTCAGAAACAAGGCTGGGCCTTCTTCATATGGACCTCCGTGATCCCACTGTCTGTAAGGTCTTCTGTTTCCCTGCTCACCCAACTCATGAATTTTCTTTAGCACCCTAGGCTTATCATATGCTTTCAAAATTCTAGGCTCTTGAGAGAGTGTAATTCCCTCTACATCAAGTTTTCTCCCTCTGACCCTCTTGGATTCTCCCCTTTTGTTATTACTTATTCTTCTTTCCCAGGGGTTCCCCACCACCACCACATTCTAAGCCTGGGGTGAAAGCAGTTTGTCACATCTTGAACTCTATCCCCATGGCCCCCAAGATATAATGGTAATTATTTGTTCATGGGGCTATCCCCCTTAGATGAGAAATGTTACACCCTTCTAATATGTTCCTGACTAGTTGTAAAAGGGTTGAAAGAAAAAAAATGAATGGAATTTCAATCCATTCACTTCAGGGAATTTTCTAAGCTTCATGTCTTTATTGACTTAAATCAGTAGAAAGCCGCATACTGAAAACAGCATCTGGCAAAATTGCCTTTGCTGAATTCTGGTTTTACATTATGCCTTCAACTTCTACTATAATTTGCAAAAAGACATTTAGATGTAATTTGGTATCATGCACAGCACTAACACTGAAACAGTCTATATTTGGTTAGTAAATGTCCATTATGGAGTTATCCACAGATGTATTTTCTTTTCAGATTCAATGCTAATTCTTGTCTCCACCTAAAAACTGGTGTGTGTTCTGCTGTTACACATAATTTAACACATAATTATACATCTTACTCTCATGAAAACCTTATACTAGCTACAGGGATTATCAGAATAAATAGTAATCAAGTCTTAGCTCAGGTAACTGCAGTTCCTATTAGATGTTCTCTCCTCCCACCCCTTTTTATACAAACAAAACACACACACACGCACACGCACACGCACACGCACACACGCACGCACACATGCGTGCGCGAGCACATGGGGAAGGAGAAAGAGAGGAAGGGAAGGAGGGAAGGAGGGAGGGAGGATAGTCTCTTTGGCTTAGACTCCTAAATTCTGAGATTGTAGGCATGGACCTCTGCTTAATTCTATACATTTTGAGGGATGCCTGAAAGAGGTGTGAACATTTGCTGAATTGACTATTCCCAATTATTACAGCTGTTGGTCATTGCAGCTAATATTGTGTATAAAATACTTTATTAAACTAATTGTTCTTCACTTGTAAGCATGATTAATGCTATTAATAATAATTATTTTGTAACAATTTTGTGATTATGTAGTTAATGTCAAATAGTTATTACATGGTTAACACATAATAGATAATAAATATTGGTGCCTGGGTTCTTGAGAAGAAAATGTATTTCCTAACTTGGCATTTTTAAACTAATAAGCTCAGTATTACAAATCAGACCAAAGTCTCGCCCTTGCTACATATATGAACCAGGTGGATGTGCTAACCAAAGTCCCTTCCCAGACGCAGATACTGAAAAGGGCAGGTGTCCCAATAAGGGGGCAGAGTGGGGAGAACTGAAAAGGACCATGTGAAGGAGCAGCAAAGCACTCACTGCCTAGCTTCTAAGAGAAAACTGAAAACGAAACAAGTATCATCCACTTGTTTTTCTCAACTTCCCACGAGAGAAGCCATTTGCTGTCAGTAGGGCTCTACCTACTTCAAATGAAACAGTAGGAGGAGGGAAGAGGTGCGTCCCCAATAGCCGACTCATTGCTGTCTCCCAATCTCATGTAAAATAAAGCAGAATATATAGAAATGATTAACAAGAAAATAAAATAATTTATACGTAACCCCTTTGCTTGGCTTCAGTTTATGCTATCTTACATATGTAAATTATGATATATTATGAAAAACTTTCCTCTGATTGAAACCTTTTGTGCATTTCCATGAACATTATAGTACTAATGTATTTGCTTGCTTAGGACCTCTAGAAGCCAGATGACAGAAATAAATGCCATGTAGATTTCCCTGGTTCCAGTTTTCAGCTTCTGACTCTCAGCTGTATAAATGGTTAGCTGTTGCTGAACTCTGTTTATCTGAACAAAATTTGAATGTCCATGGTGCATTCTGAATATGATATTTGTTGGGGGTATTATCCATTAAAATATATGTTTCATAAATTAGTATTATCTGCCCTCTGTGAACAAAGTTGGATGGAAACTGCCTTTTTTATGAATTTGTCTTAAACAAGACTGCTGTGGTCCAAAGCATGTTACCTCGTGAGACTGTCACTGTAACTTACCGACTGGTCCGATTATGCTTTTCCACATTCATAGACAGCATATGAAATGTTACTAGGCATATTGTGTTCTTGTTTCCCAGAGAAGTCATTGCCATCACTTACTTTTATTGTTAGATCTTCTCATAAATTTTAGGTGTAAGACACACAGTCTTTATCCTCTGTAAATCCTGAATTATTTTTAGAATTTTGTTTGTAGCCATAATCTGAGAATCTTCAAATTAGCAGAATCTTAGCAACAAAGTTGATACTTCAATTCATTTTTAGCTCTCTCTCATCTATCCACCCGCATGTGGCCCCCTCAATGCCCCTTGTCGAATCTCAGGTCAGCAGCTTCTGCCAATGTCCCCTTTCTCAACCGGTTTTTAAGTGTTGGGAATGAAACCCCAAGTCTGGAGTGTGTGAGGTAAGCATGATGGCATTAGGCTGTGCCTCAACCCTTTCTAATTTAGCTTTTTAAATATTTCTTTTTTAAATTTTTGAGACAGAGACTTGCTAAAATTGCCCTAGCTTGCCTTGCATTTACTCAGACAGGCCTTGCCATCCTTCTGCATCATCCTTCATGGAATCTTAGTTTCTATTATCTATATACTGTTCTGCCTGTTTACAGTTTATAGGTATAATCATTTTCTTACCATTTTCCTTCCCTACTAAAGTTGAAACAAGAACTCACTGAAACATACAGTGCAAAATACACACCATAAAACATGGATTTTTTATTTCAGAAGTTTGGAAAGCAGTGGGAGACTCTGTGCTGGACACACCTTCAACTCAGAGAGAAAACAATAGCATATAAGTGTGTCTCTGAAACCCTTTTATACAGATTCAAAGTGGTCTGCTAGAAGGGATGCATCTGCCTTAGTCACCACACTTAATAAACTAAGGCTGCAGTTCTTCAGAACACAGTATTCCAACAAATAGTTTCTCTTACTCCAGCTTTTAAACAGCAGAAAGGGCTCGGCAGAGGCATCAGAAGCAAATTGTGCTCATGGGGTGTTATTAGGTAGAAATGGGGGGGGGGGGGCGCTCCCGTCTCTTCTGTTAATATTATTATAGAAATACTTAATCCCCAGGCTGTGAAGCTAATTGTGAGGGAAGGCTTGCTATTAGTGAAAAGAACAAAACATATGTTCTGAGACTGAAAGAAATGATGGGAACTAAGTAAGGTCATGAATTCTATTTGACTAAATTACTGCTGAACCAGATCGCAGATGCTGTGCGGGGGCCAGGTGGAAGTCAGCACGCTATCCTCCTTTTCCATCTGTACAGTCCTGGCCATTTAAAGCCCTACGCTTGAATATTGTTACATATTATCACCTTAGTCATCTGGGCTTCTATGATATTTTTAGTATTTTAGCCTATTTCCCACTCCTGGGTGGAATAATTTATGTACTTTAGAAAGTCAAACCAATTCCCCTAAAACTCGGAAGCCTACCCTAGAAACAGTATCTCTTGGGAACCTCTTTCCAGGGCGGCGAGTAGCAGCATGTCAGCCAGCCACCATGGTTCCCACCCAAAGCCCTCTGCAGCCGGTGGTGCTTGAAGGAGGCTGGACTGAGCCGACGCAAGAGGAAATGAAGCTCATGGAGATTATAAGGCAGACAGAGGTATGTTCTTTGGGATCCCAGACATTAAAGACTCTGCCCCTTTTAGCAACATTTAAAAGTATCGTGTTGAATTTTTAAATCATGCTATTAATATGCTCACAGCAACTAGGCAGTTATGACCACCATAAGCATATGCCAAGCATTGAGTTGGCATTTGGAGAGTAGCTATCCTGGAGACAGCCAGCTCACACGAACGTCTGTTTTGTTTGAATGGAGACCAGAAATTATGACCTTAGCAAAGATGAGAAAAAGGCCCAGTGGATATGTACAAAGGTAATTACAGCAAGTGTAGTCAAGTTGAACCTTATGGCTTCATCACTCATCATTCCTGAGGGTACTACTCAATATGTAAAAAGAGCAAGGAGCACAATGCTGATCACAACGGAGACATTCAGAAGCAAGAAGATGAAAAAGTGGTTTCGGCCAATTGGTTAATCATTCAAGATTGCCAGACATAAAGCAGTTGAGAAGAGAAAGGTCAGCTGTTGAGACAGGCTGAGGGATAGAGGCTACGGGAACCTGCATGCTTTGTGAATTTTTTCATCCAACTATTTGTCACTATTTTAACAAGGCTTCTCAAATTCGTGGCATGGGTTCAATGCAAATTTTAAGTGTGCGTCTAAATCAAGGTGACTGGAACGAAGAAGTTGTCATTGCTAGAGACTTGACTCCTTGCCAGGCCAAGAAGGCTACGTTCCTAGTCAGGGAGCAAATAAGCAAGTATTGAGCTAGGACACACTTGAGGTAGGATGAGGAGCTGCCTGGCGAGGACTTGGCAGAGCAGAAGGGTGGCAGCCACCTTTCAGTGAGCTAGGACTTACTGCCCACAGTCGCCTAAGCCTCGCTTACCCAAAGGAAAGGAAGGCGTGTTTCTGAATCAAAAGCTCACTTGTTAGTTGTCGAGACAGCTCCTGTAGGAGAGACATCACACACGTGTCGCCCTTTATTTCTCAACACTGCCAATGAGTTCAATGGTTTGTCAAAGTGAATCTGTCCATGTTCTTACCCCAGTAGCTTCATGGAAGCAAGGGAAATTCACCCAAGTCTACAGCAGAAGAGGTCTGGGCTTGCCACAGTTACTTACCAGAATCATTTCGGTATACATTGTGATTACATGGCATTTCTGGTTTCCATTGTATTCCCTTTGCACACACCAAATCATTCACTGTCTGCAGCATTCTCTGGGCTTTCCTTGACAGGCACAACTTTCTGAAGGCCAAGAACTACAGTCCAGACGCTCTCTGATTGCAACTCAATGTAAAGCAAGCCAGCAGCACAGCCTATACCAGGGTCCCCGAGTGAAACGAGTGTGGGCTTACCGGAACGGAGGCCGACCTGGTGATGGCACTCATGCCTGGGCCAGCACTGTTTCAGAGGTAAATTTACTGTGAATATCCAATAGGCCTGGAATCAGACCCCAACTTTGACGTCTCTAGATTGGTAGTTCAGGCAAGTTAATGAACTTCTCTGAACCTCATTTTCTCATTTGTCCAGTGGGAATAATACTTCCGTCACAAGGCTGGTCAGATTATTGAATGAGCTCCCATGTGTGAACATGAGATGTCTAATGCTATCTGATGTGTGTGTGATTTCAAATATGATGCATGGCCAGCAGAGAACAGTGCCAACTGCACACGCTCCAGACCAAGGCTATACTTTAAAATCACTTAAGAGTAAGAGCATAGTGGCACAAGCTTCTAATCCCAGCACTTGAGAGGTGGAGGCAGGAGAGTGCAGAACTGAAGGGCATCTTTAGCTACAATGATGAATTTGAGGCCAGCCAGGGCAGATTGGGACCCAGTTTATTTTTAATAGTTACAATAATACTTTAAAATGGTTTTTCTCATTCATTTTTAATCTAGCTCACAAGAGTCATTTCAACCCCCTGTTGTGAATATTCACTAGATATGTGCTTTATAGAAAAGCACCTGCAGTTCTTATGGAAAGCCTGTCCCAGTCTTACTACCCACCATCCTGGGCTGACAGAATTTCCACTTCCCAGAGATAAAGCACTGCCTTGAGGAGACAAGCAGCTGCTCCTCCACTGTTTGTAACTTGAGGGACATAAATCTAAAGTTTGACCTTTTTGTCTTAGTCTTTAAGTGGAGACTTGAAGCAAGTTTCTTTACAGGGCTTTCCTAAAGTCTTTCCTGCTGCAATGGAAATGCTAATAGTGCTTCCCGTTTCCCTTTGTGAACTGTTGGCAAAGACTTTCCTGGGAAAAGAGAGAGTCCCAGAAATAATGTTGGGGGCAGGGGTGGGGAGGTAAGAAGGTGCAATAGAAAGGCCTAAGGAAGTTCACAAAGCTGATGGAAGTTCTGGAATAGCAGAGGCATCTCAGCTGAGCTGGCCTTCAAGGATGCTCCAGGCTCAAAGCCTCTCTTCACCAATAGATCCATGAGTGCAGCCACGTCTCAGAAGCTGACGGCTAACATGCTGCACTTGAGAAATGAGGTAAAAATGTACAACATTCACAATGAGCAATAAAGGGAAAATGCTTTGTGTACCTGGAGGCAAACAGGAGTATGGTTACCTCAAAAAAAAGGAAAAGCCATTCCTAGGAGAGACGCCAAAGTGTGGCTAAAATATTCTTCGCATTGGTCTCTTCAGAAATGAGAGTCAAATGTTGATGCTGCTTCAGAGAGAGTACTTAGCCTTGGCAGCTAAAGGCAATCAAATAGTGAAAGAATATGCAGCTATTAACCAACAGACATAGAAAGGAGTGTGGATAATAAGAAAACAGCTATCAGACAGTGTAACAAAACTCACAAGGAACTTCCAAAGATTGCATATGGGTCTATCAGTCAGAAGCTGGCCTTTTGAGTCACGTGGCCCACACTGTAGAGTATGGAAGGTGCTCCATAACTACAGGTCCATGACCATATGGTTTTCATGAACTTTATATGGATATGGAAGCGACTATGCTGGAAGCTGTGAAGCATCATTTTAACTTACATCTGTGAGTAGACTTTTATAAACTTTGGAAGCACCGTGTAATTGACAGGTTAGCATCAATACTAGACAACACATGCTACCGGAGCTCATTAAATTATGATGTCAAGATGACAAAGACTCATTACACTCATAGGCAGGTTGTTTAATGTAGATTATTATATTACAGAACAAAGCAATCCATTATGTAAAAACAAGTATATGTGCTTGAATGACACCCTTAGCAAGATTGACTATATTCGACAGGTTTCTTTAATTATATAAATTATATACTGTTCTTTGTTATTATCTTTAAATTAATTTTTTTTTAAGTTAGCATAGAAAGTATTGGGTTGGCTTCTTCATGAAGGTTTTTGGGTTTTTTTTTTTTTTTTTTTTTTTGATGTTTTGTTTTGGTTTTGGTTCTATGAGACAAGGTTTCTCTCTGTAATCCTGGCTATTTTGGAACTCGCTCTTTAGACCAGGCTGGCCTCAAAACTTACAGAGATCCAACTCCACCTCATGAATGCTGAGATTAAAGGCGTGCGCCACCACTGCCCGGCCTCCAGGGAGTTTTCGTATATATGTGTCACACTTTGTTCTCGGTTGGCCTCCCCTCCACTATCCTTCTCCCTCACCAGGTCGCCTCTCCACCCCACCTCCCCCGCCATCACCCTCATCCTTCCTTAGCCCCGGTGCCCGTTCTTCCCAGTGAGTCTTCTGATTGGTTTTCCTTGCACAAGTCACTCTTTGTTCTCTCTATCACCTATGTCCCTTAAATTCTTTCCTTCCCTCTCCTAACCCCCTTTCTAGTTCCATGACCTACAAACATAGATACATACATATATGCGTGCACATATATAATTTAAAAACTAGGTTCCATGTATAAGAGTAAATATGCAATGTTTACCTTCCCGAGTCTGACTTATAAACTTGCTCAATATGATTTCCAGTTGTATCCGTTATTCTGCAAAGGTCATAATTTCAATTTTCTTTATGTTTGCACAGTATTCCTTTGTGTACAGGTACTACATTTTCTTTGTCCATTCATCTACTGATGGATGGACACCTAGGCTATTTCTATTCCCTGGCTTTAGTGAATATGGAGGCATAAGTACCTCTGTGGTCTACTGACTCAGTGTCCCTCGGCTGCATATCTACGGTTGGTATAGCTGGGTCATTTTGTTCTCATTCCAGTTTTGTGAGGACCCTCCATATTGATGTTCATAGTGGCTGCACAGGTTTATATTCTGACCAGTAACTATAAAGGTTCCTGCCCACTCGCCTCTTCGCCAGCACTTGCTGTTACTTATTTTCTTGGTGGTTAGTCATTCTTACTTCCCTGGTGGCTAAGGATTTAAAATACATTTTATGGTATTTGTTGGTCATTTGCATTTCTTCTTTTGATCATGGTCTATTCAGTTCATTAACACACTTTTTGATTGAATGATTTAGTTCCTCAGTACTGGGGTGGGTACAGGCAGAGGGTCTGACTTTGTACTTTCAGGATCTCTTGATTACCAGTCACCTTCTAGAAGGGATGATGCCCCTGTGGTGGTATATCCCTGGGGCTTCAGAGTTCTGGTGCTCTACAGCAGAGAATGACAGGGAGTTGGCTCCAGAACACGATCTATCTGCTGGCTCAGAACTATTAACAGGGTAACACCAGGGTAATTCTTAGATGAGATCTGTCTCAGGTCACTTGTGGTAGGTAGGTCTATCTTTCTCTGCGCACTGCCCATCCAGACTCAGCCTCCTGCTACCTGCATCCTTCATTGAGGGCCTTCTCTCTGCAACTGCCTTGTTGAGCCTTCCCCTACCCAGGTGCTGTGTACGATGAAAGCAAGTCTCCCTAGCCTGAGGATGTCCCCTGTTCTCAGGCCTACAAGGCAGCCAGATTTGAACCATACATTTCTGTTTCAGAATAGCTCAAGGCCACTGTCACCTGAGTCATACAGTATGATAAAGTTGGATTTTTCTCCACTGTTGATCACACCATGCCACTAGATTTAAAGCTCACGAAGACTGTGAGCTTCTCCTGAGTGTAGGACTGACTGTTTCATCTGGGTTACCTTTTGGAGAGAGCTTCTGAGTCCTCTTCCTGCCTAAGAAACTGTGCCATGGCAGCTGTGTTCAGCTTGCTCCTTTGAGTAACAGTACAAACTGTCTTTGCTCTTTCCCAGGACCCTCTTCTTTTGTGAATTTTAGAATCCGCTTGCCTCTGTTCTTCTCTTTACATAAAGTCTGAGGTTTTTTCTTATTCTTAATCTCTCTTTTACCAGCTCTCACCGAAGTAGTCTCTAATCTGTCATTTTACTAGGCTGTCTCCTCAAACTGATAAAGAGTATGAAAATATATGCAGGCTTTAGCTGGGTACAGAGAAATAGGCACTCTCCTGTTGATGGAAATTGAACTTTTTAGAGAACAAGCACTTGGTTATATATCTCACAAACAAATGCACTTCTGAATGCATCCACATCAGCTGTTTGTCACGGTGACAAAATAATGGACAGATGCACTTATGGGAGAAAGCGTTTGTTTTAGCTCATGATTCGGTCCATCATAGCAGGGAGTCCGTGATGGAGTTCATGGTGACAGGAGCATGGAGCCGCGGTTTCTCACATTTCAGCAGATAAGGAAGCAGAGACCACCCTTAGGGATGACCATGACCTTCAAAGGCCCGCCCCTCTTGCCCTGCTTCTGCCAGCAAGGCCTCGCTTCTTAAAGGTTCCATTAACTACGGCCACCAGTTGAGGAACAGGTGTTCAAGCCCATGAGACTGTGGGGTGACATTTCACACTCAAACCATAGCATACCCCAAGAAGACTTCATGAACTTATGCAGAGTTTGTTTGCTGGAGATATTAATCACAGAAGTATTTTTAATAGAGATGAACTAGAAATAATTTTAAAGCTTATCAATGGGAAATTGGTTAAGTGAATTATAGTACATAGGATGGAATATCATAATTCAATTAAAATCAATTTTAAGAGAGAATAAAAACAACAAATATGGCTGAGGTACACCAAGTAAAATAAACATAATCTAAGGCATGTGGAACTAGACTCTATACACATATACATGAGCAAATTGAAAGCAGCGTGGGAGGACTTAACAGCTCTCAGGATCCATTTTTTGACTGGGTCGCCATCATGGGTTACTTTTATTTTTCTTTCTTGTGCATTTGTATATTCTGTATTCTTTTTTTATGATGAATGCACATTGTTCTTATACGATAAGGAAACTGATAATCTTCTTGGAAAAGGACTAACAAATGTGATGATGGTCAAGTTAGTAGAAGTTCAGCGGGGCCATGAGTGAGGGAGACTTCATCCACCTGGGATAAGGGACAAGAGTACAAAGGAACCTGTTGCCACCTCCGACAGAACTTGAGAAAGGGGTATGCATCAACACTTAAGTAGAGGAAGTATTAATGAGAAGGAGA